ACAGCAAGTGCAGCAGCTGGCACAACGCTTGTGAATCCAGTTTGCCTCCCAAGCTGTCAGTCATGCATCATGCGAAATTCTTGTGAGTATATCTGGTTGATACAAGTCGCCACAGGTAGCCGTAAACTTAAGCTCTCAGACTCAGAAGCAAAACCTCAAATCCCCCTCCCCTGTCTTCGGGCCCCCGGCTCCCCCAGAGCTCTCGGAGGCCATGCGCCTGCAATGGCTGAAGCTCATGGCTGCGATTGGTCAGAAGACGGAGCGCAGCGAGGATGTGCCGAGGCTCAGGTTTGGCTTAGGCTTAAGCAAGGTCCCGAAATATACATACATGTACATATATACGCGCGCACACACACACACACACCCACCCACCCACAAACACCTCTCCCTCTCTCTCTATCTCTCTGTCTCTCTAGCTCCGTATCTCTCTCCTACGCAGATCCTGAGATCACTAAGCCACAAAGCCATCCCGGACCTTTCCCGATAAGGACGAGGACTTCGAGGAGAAGTTGCGCCACCTGGCTTGACTAGGCAAGCCTGCAGGGCATCTTCAAACGGGTGTCCCGCTCACATTTCCGAGGAACGCACCCCTTGCCCGGTGGCGGGGACTTTACGGAGCGCGGAGATTCCCCATGAGCTGATCGCAGGCGGCAGTTCGGGTCTGCATGCAAGGTATACAGTTTGACGATGGGTTGTAGAAGCAGTCGAAGTAAATCGAGCGTCGGAAATTCAGTGCTGCATCTGCGGACATGTAAACTTCGTCTGCACTTCCGCCGGTTGTAACTCCCACGATCTGTTCAATTGTTCGATAAGGATGCATAGCTGACATCGAGAGTTCAGACCTGCAGTGCTGGAAAACCAGTTGGCTAACGAGGCGTTGCCCATGTACAAAGGATTGGAGAACTCTCCTGTGCCGCCACTGGGCCATTGGGGTGCTCTGCTGTAGTACATATATGTACACCTCGAACCTTCGCGACTCGCTCAGCCATGCAGGACTCGAGCCCTCTCAATTTAATTACAGGGAGAGGCTGCCGGATCTACCCTAAACCCCATCGCAAGATTCAACCCTAGATGGACAGGGTCAGGCTGATAGGCATGTATATGGTCTATCGTTGAGGTTTGGATGTTTGAGTGCTTCCGAGTGTCTTCGTACTAATGAAAGCGATTCGCACGGCGACGAGGCAATACAGCTCCTCGCTGAGCTTCGCGACGGTGCCTGCATGAAGCCTACCAAAGGCAGCGAGTGCAACAAGCAAGAAGGAGGACACCGACGAAAAGTGCGATGTGCTTTGGTTTTTGTGTGTCCTTCCCAGGTAAATGACTGTCGTAGTAGTCAAGCATGAAAACAGCACGGCCACGGGCTGTTTTGCCCGTGGGCATGCTGGTGCCAAACTAGGCGGCCAAGCCTTATCCATTTATTGAATTTAGCGTCAGATGCTAGATACGCTCTTGCTGGATCTGCCGGAATGCAGCAATCCTAGGACCAAGAACATGTTCATTGCAGCCCAGCCCACGCGCTGTGATGACATCTCATGTTAGTCGAGCGTCCGCGTGCCGTCGTTACAGATGTTTTCTATGCCGAAAGCCAGCAGAACTATCATCCCCCTCCTATAGCATCGGGCAGGCGTCCTTCGTTGCATATCCGAAGCAGGGAGACGAGTGTTTTCTCTTGCTTAAGGTGAACCACAAGCCTGGCAGCAAAGTGGCGAGGCTCAGACGCTGGGTTAGTGCGGTCATGCGGCACACTTGGCTCCCAGAGAATGTTTCATTGAAGCGAAGTGTGCCCCCCAAACACCCAGCTACTGTACCTCAGCCTTTCAGCCATGGCAGGAAGACAAGTGTGGACTCCTCCTCGGATTGTTCACATAAAGGATCAGCCTCGGTGGGAGTCTCGGAAGCCGGGCTGGGAAGCAGCTTATGTACGTCTGCATCGAGCGTATGAGCCGAGATTGCAGAAGTCGGGAGCGAGTGGAAGTCACTGCCAGGAAAAATGAAGGAACGACGCCGAATATCGGGTCGCAGATCTTGATCAAGCTACAGCTAAAGACTCGCAAGTTGACAAACCCGAGTGATAATCCTGCATCTTCTCGACACCCGAAGTTGCAGTGCAGTTGCAGGTTCCATCCGGAAGGCCCTCCATCGTGGCAGGCGGCATCGCGTGCTTTGCTTTTCCAATGATCTTAACATCGGCAAGACTTCAGGGCGAGAGTGGGAAAAACAGGGGATGCCGGCCTTTCAAAACCGGTTGGAGGGTGAAACCAACTCCGGACCCGAACAGGAAGTTCACCTCCTTTGCCCACACGCATCGCCGATCCTTCGTGGTCACCCATGCCGAGGCGGGTGTTCCTCGACTCAGGTCCGTGTTCGCAAGGGGAGGACGCTTTCTGACAGGTTTGATGCCTTGGAGCGTGCAGGGCCGAAGCGCGGAGAGTGTCCCTGGCTATACGGCTATACGGCTATACTTCGGAAGTGTCGGCGGGACTGCCACCAGTGTGTTGGCACTCTGCATTGTAAAGGAAGCTGAATGTCGGAGCGGCGTGGACGCTGCTATGCACCCGTGTGCCGTGCCTTTGCATTCTGAGCTCGGTTGTTGGACATCCGTGGCCAGCATCAAAATTCTTATTGCACGCGTGCCTTCAGCTGACACCGTCACCGAAGACCTTGTCAGGCCGCTGCTGCGTGAAGGTCCGGGACGGCCGAACTTCGTGGGAGACCAGGAGAACTTCTGGTGGAGTCTGCATTTGAGGTTAGTGACTGGAAGTTGCACAACATAAGCAGGGCCAGTCGAGGTTTCGGCCGTAGCTGGCCCAAACCCGGGCGTTCCGATCAGAATGGGGGCCCAAACCTTGACAGAACCACTCCAGGCTGAGTTTGGCAAAACTCTTCTGTATCCATGTACGCTTGCTGCCTAGTCTCCTGCGTTTTTTCTTCCGGTCATTGTATGCAAGCTTAGCATTACGAGTGAACCCACAGACGTTTTGGACAAATCTTTGAGATTGCGAACTCTGCATCTAGGCATTGTGTGGATGTGAGCGCCTTGTGTCTGTTTTCGTTTGGGTCCCATTTCGCCACTCAGTTGCGAGTTGGCACAGGGCGTCGGTACTTGAGGGGTTGTATCGGAAGTGCCGGACTCAGGGCTATCCCACCTCCGTCAGTCCCATGCGGCGAGAAGGCTGGAGACGCGCTTGCTTGTAATAAGTCCATCCGTGCACTGGGCCCCAGTGTGCGACTGTGATTTTGGGGGATGCTGCACATGTCGTCAGCCTCGAAGTGCACTTGAGATGTCGAGTTCAGTTCTTCTGCACTGTTCCTCTGCCAGGCGTGTCAGTCTCACCTTTCGTCAGAACCCCGCCATGCGCCCAGAAAGTCTGTCAGTCGTGAAGTGAGTTACGGTTCCACGTAGTGTTCTCTGAGCTCAGGGATGCGATGAGTTTCATGCATTTTTATCCCGCACTGGGTCCGAGCTTCCCTGCCAGTCATGCCCGAATGATGCGGGCACACGTGCTGCCGGATGCAGGATGCATCTGGACTCAGTTGTTCCATCTCACAAGCCATAAGCACATGCTCGACGACACAACCGCAAGGATTTCTTGAGACATATATCAGGTGTCGATCACTTGTCGCCCATCCCCGTCCCCCCGCCCAGCAAGACCACATGGCAATTTGCCCATTCCAATGTAATCTTGGATGTCCCGTCAGTCGGAAGCCTCGGTGTGTTAAGGCTGTTGAGGGTTTGCTGGCTCCGAGCTTCATAAGGTGCCAATCCCCCTGCAGAGCCACCGTGATCCAGAGGCCTGCTTTCTGAGTTCACATCGTGGTCACAGGAGACGATGGTATGCATTTCGTCCCCGGTTCCAGATCACGTGCTGGCCTGGGTTGAACAAGTCGAACTGTTAAAAATCTGCGGTTTGCTGTCATGTTGCAATCTTCTCTCTGGCCCCGTCATATGTTGCAGTCCGACGAGCCGACGTTTCTTTCGCTGCAGTCGCTGCAGTGCATGTTTTTTTGTGGCTAATTGCAGCTTGCATGCAGTCCAACGACCCCGCGGCAGTTCCCATGCAATCATCTACATTTATACCCAGCATACAAATAAAAAACGAATGCATACATATACGTGTGTATATATATATACATAGTATACATGCATGCACGCATGCATACATACATACATACATACATATATACATACATATATAAGTTATGTTATATATATATAAGTACATAGTTGTGTATACGTGTGGATATGTATCTGAGTATACATATATATATATATATGTGTGTGTGTTTGTATATATGCGAGTACATATCCATACAGACATTCATACGTACGTACATGTAGAGGCCAGCTCCTCCTTCGCCACGAGCCATCGAGAAGCTGCTCAACGTGCCCAGATATCCTGGTCTCCTAGAGCTGAGATTGCAGGTGATTTTCATGGAAGTTCATCCATCTATCTTCATCCCTGTCCTCATGGCCAGGATTGAGAAGTTGAGGGAGGTTCACGGGTTGGTCTTTGAGTGTGGGGGCCTGCCAGCTCACTGTCGTGCAACTTCCCTTCCTCCGCAGCCACTGATATTTGGGCTACAGTGACCCACTCATGTGGAGCAGTCTGGAATGCAGTTCAGCGGTTTGAGCCAGCCGCCCACTGCTGGCACTATATAGTACTGCATGTTATAGTGATCGACAAGCAGCATCGTGATCGTGGCTTGCTAACTCGAGTGTTTTAGTTTGAACGCAGCCGCCAGCTCGTGGAACATTGGCCGCAGCAGGAGGCATGTCTCTTTGTATTATTGTATTGAAGGTGGAGCTTCACAGGGGGTGCAGAACATCAGTAGGATTGTCCGCCTTGCTTTTGTTGTCGTTGCAGCTTCTGGCGCCCGGCCTTCGCATCCATGGGGTCACACCCAAACGCAAAGCAGCATGATGTCCGAAACCCCTTTTTCAGAGGTGGTGGGGTTGCCGGGTTGCCCTCCTTTGGCAGAGAAGCCCATGATCTGAGGCCATGACGGGCTTCGATTCGTCCTGGAGCTGCAGCGACCTGGCGCACAACCTCTGTGACGTCTTGGCAACTCGGCCAAGTTGTGGGCACAGGGCAGCAGGAGCCATGGCGTTCAGTGTTCGGGGCCAAAGCTTCGCAATTGGACTTTCGAGCGTGCCTGCTCTCCTGGATGCCCCGAAGTTTGCAGTGCCCCATTCGTCAAGACAAGCCCATGAAGCCCCGAAGCCCAGTGCTAAATCCTTGGGTTGGTACCGTTCCCAGGTCAAGAAGGGCCAGCTGAAGGACAACTGTGAAGGGGGATGTGAAGTATGGAGTCTGGAGGTTGCGGGTTGAGTTGCGTGCCTTTGTTTTTGGGTTCAGCTGTAATCACGGCTACATGTATGCGAACTTCAGCATCTACAGCTTGAGGTACATCTTAAGTCAGAATCCTTGCGAGGAAGCATGCCCCCCGTTGGCCGCTTTGGGAATTGTCTTGAAATATCAATACCGCTCGTTCGCTGAAGTTCTGAAGGTCTGGGTGGGATAGATTTAGATTCAGATCTCCCTAAAAGGCTATCCTCAGTTTCTCGGCAGGAGAAGCCCGCATTCATCCGCACAGATCGAGAGGCAAGATGATGGCATCGCCCCCCCCCCAAAAAAAAAAAAAATGGCTGCAAGGCTTCCAGAGAAGACGTTTCTGAGGCCTGTAAGAACCTTAAGTTATAGATTCTATTGAATTTCGGTTCTGGGGCCGGAGGCCCGAGGATGTCCTGAGAGTTTGGGACAAATTCGAGTCGTGGGTAGAAAAGAAATCCAGATCTTTGTGCCCATTACGGTGAAAAAAGCGCCCCTTGAGGATAGCCGTTCAATGGGACCCTCCCAGTCAAGTGTTTGACAGGCCAAGATTTTGCAGATTTTTGAGGGCATCGGCCTCGATGGGGCGAAGATGTCCACGTTCGACAATCCTGGCCCTTTGGTTCCTGGTCCTTTACAGCAGCGTTTGAGGGTTTTTCTTCTGAAACTCCCATGTACACAGTGGCTCAACACGACACTGTTGACATTGAAGCTTTCTTCAGCTCGTTAAGCTATGGTCGGTATAGAACCAAGTGCCGTGCGGATGTTTTTCTTACATCTTTGCTTGAGGAAATGATGGTCCGCAAGAGCACCAATGGCGAGACCTGGGTCCAACATGTCCTCGACGGCTTGACCAGCGGCTTTGTCTCACAATGGCAAACTCTATCTGGGGTTGTTTGTTCAGCGATTGGGCACGGGGTATTCTTTTCGCCTTCTTTGCGGCTTCGGCACGAGGTTGTTCCATGCTATGCTTGGGAGGGGCGTAGCTCCCAACATTCCACGTGCGAAGCGCCAGAAACCTGGGAAGCTAGAAACCGGAACCCGGCCAGCCTATCGTTTGGGCGCCCTCTAGCCCTCCCTATAGAGCTCCGGCACGCAAGGCATGCTGCCAGAGGACGGGCTCCACTACCGTCCCAGCTCGTCGCTTCTTCACCATCATGCCGTAAATCAGTTAAGACCGCAGTTGGCGGGAAGCCTTGCAGATGATGGATGTTGCATGTATGTTGTGGATGCCAGAAAGATCCAGAAAGCCTGAGAAGCTCCTCTTGGTGTGTTCACTACCTGGTCGTCCTGTTCAGTTCAGGGACAGCGCCTAATGTAATGTGGATCCAGTATTGTATGCCGACAGCCCTGACCGATGATTCCAGGATTTCTGAACCCACATATCAATATTAAGTATTGCCGTCTCCAGGACGTGGCAAAGGCACAAAAGACGATGACCATGGATGAGGCTGGCATGAACACTGGATGGTCGTAGTCGGTCGCATGCCAGAGCTCAGCGCTGCATTGATGATTCAGCGACGTTTCATCTAAATGAGGCATGCATCGGATGCTCGGATCATGCTTCCTTCCATTGGACTTTGGTTTCTGCTTCCCTTCGGCTGCAATTCTGCAAGGAGGTGAAGCCGATATAAGCAAGAAGTGCACTTTCACTTAGATCACAGTGTATGGCCCGTCACATGAACAAAAAAAGATGAGCATGACAGACCCTTTTCTCAAACATGCGGGCGAAACACGAAACTGTGCAATATCTCGACATGTCCTTCAGACCGGTCGCGTTTTCGCTGAAATTTTCGTGTCACATAGTGTAGGCTTCGGTTCTATCTGGACATGCTGGCACTTTTACATTCTCATCTTGGCTTCGACATATGGAACAAAGGCCATTTGAGAGCCACCCACCGTGCTCAGGCACCGTGCCCGATTCTTTTGGAACATTCCGATTGCACTTGACTCCAACGCCAGACCGCCAAAGAAGAGCTGGCAGCAGCAAAGGAGAGGCCCATTCTTGGAGAGTCTGGGCATCCTGAAAGGTTGAGGTGCTACCATGTGGTTTCTCAGACCTGCAAGAGGCCGAAAGTGGTAAAGCGCTCCTAAATGTCTCCCGAGGGTTCCCCTAAAAGAGGGGTTCATAGAGGGATTGCTAAGGCAACTTGACGTCCCTTTGGCAGCTGCAGGAGCTTGGCAAAGGTTGTTCCGGCCGAGCGGCCCCTGCAGGTGTTTTGAAGCATGTGACATGATGAGGTACCTGGACCCCCAAAGTATGTAGAATAATAGCCTTTTGGAGGTTTTAGGCCATTATTTTACCTACTTTGGTGGAGTTTAAGTAGTATTTTTAGCCAGGGTACGGAGCCGGGGCAGAACGAGGAAATGGGTTGTCCAGTATTCGGAAGCCTTATAGAACTCCTTTGTAGAAACCCGTCTTGAAGGAACCAGTTCCTTTCTATTTGGTTTGTTCCCGTTTCTCATGTTTTCTTCTTAGCTGCTGACAATACTTCTAGCTGACATTCCAGCTCCTCTAGTCCTGATCCGACCCGAGAGACTTAGTCTGGCAGTGTCCGAGTTGCGAGAGCATAGGTGACCATAAGCCCACTTTGTTCTATAGTTCTCGTCCCATAGCGACGCCCGGTGGAGGTCTGCCCAGCGAAGGGAGCGCATGCACGAGACAGAGAAAGAAAACGACCGAGGCCGGGGCCTTGCGCGTGAAAGACTCCGGGTGTCGGTATCATGACTAAGAGGCCCTTCTATTCTAGTTCCTATCTATTTCGTATGACAATGATTGTGTATACTGTAGGCCGTAGACGTATATTGCACATGATATAGCTCTTATACAAAATACTTCCCAGAGCCCTTTTGTAAGTCCTCAGAGCCCTTTTGTAAGTCCTCAGGCCCTTCTACTCATATTTCCCGTCTGGCAGGTTGAATCACAGGATCTGTGCTTACATACATCTTTCAGCATACATTTAAGCCGAGCTGACGTCGTTAACATCTCGGTGTGTTTCTCATGCGTGTGCGCGAAGGTGATCGAGACAAAGAGGGAGGAGATCGCCCGAAAGGAAAAGGCGCGACAGCTTCCAATTCATCTTCGCATTAAGAAACAAGTTGCACCAGCAAGCCAGCAAGTGTCTAGAGCCTTGAGTCCGAATCCTCTCTTTCTTATGCTTTCAGGCAATTAGCAGCCTAGCAGCAACACTGAAGATGCGGTCTTGCTGTAAAGCTGCAGCGTGGAGCTTCTGAGCCATGCTGTATAGCCGCACGGTACTCGCCCACAGACTGTAGATGGAAGATCCGGGTCAGCGCTTGGTCGAACATGCAATCTTGGCGAAGGATGATCAATGCGTTTGCCCCGGACGACGAAGCAGGTTGAATTCCACACCAGAAATGTCCACATAATGTTGATCTGAAAGCTCAAATCAAGGATCTTGGCCAACAGCCTGTTGATCTGCTTGCAGGTAAAAGCGATCGCCCGGATCGGGAGCGCAATGGCGGCAACGATCGCTTTGGTGGAAACGATCGCTTCGGCGGGAACGATCGATTTTCCCGAGACAGGGATGAGGACCTGGCTTCAGCAAGAACAGCTGCAGGCTTTTTGTCACGACTCTTGTTGGGTTCTCACCGTGGAAGGCATGAGCAGGCAGTTCATTGATTACAAGAATGTTACGGAACCTGTAGAGAGATAGTGACAAGTAGCCAAAGTAATTCCCAATGCTGTGCTGCAGGACCGTGGGGATCGTCGCGACGGTTACAAGGGTGAAGGAGGCATGGCAGATGTGTTCAAAAGCTTCGTTTTCGGCTCGCAAGCTTGTAGTGAACACGTGCTTTCGGGCGTGTACGGGTGCAGCTTCAGAGTTCGGTCGGTGGCAATTCCTACTGGCTTCGGATTGCATGTTGCCCTCATGACTCAGTGCCCAGCATGTATACACAGCACCGGCTGCTCACCAGCATAGGAACATGTTGTGCCGCCTGACGTGAAGCGAAGGGAACGCCCTTCGGCCTGCCTCCAGGCGGACGACGACGCGAGGGTGGTGGGGAGAACACGGCGCGGTGCTGAGGTTTGTTGAAGGCCCTTCAGATTCACCTGAAAGCCTGCACCCAGGACCCAGAACCTGAATGCCATGGAACCCTCCCTCTCCATGCTTCAACGCAAACTGGCTTCGTGAGAGTTTCGTCAAGGTCTACGCAGCACCAAATCAGAATGTTATCCCAACTTCTACCGACGTGCAATGACTCCGTGAAGCGGCACCATCAAGACACTGAGCCTTCCGCATGACAGTGCCCAACATCCTGACTGGTTCGGTTCGGAAGTTGAAGTCTGCGTCCAATATGCCACGATGCTGACCCATGCTCGCCGCAGTCCAGTCTCACTGGCTCGTAGTTTGCACCCCGGGTCATGTCGTGCCCGGGAGACGTCTCCGAAGCGAGATTTGTCGGGTCATGGGAAAGAAAGGTTCCTCGGCTCCGAAGCCTGGCGTTTAAGGGATGAGATGATGAGACTTCGCTTGGAAGTAGACTGTGGGCTTGGCTCCCCTGCCCCTGCTGCAAGTTACGTACCGGTGACATTCCTGGAAGTTCATCACCTGTCACCATCGCGATTCAGGGTCGGCCGGCAGAGAAAGTGCTTGAATGCTAATGCGCGCTGAATACTTCCATTGCAGACAATCGCAGCAGTAATGCGGACTCTTGCATATCACCCGACCTTCAGCGTTGCCTTGTACAGGGTCGAATCGGCTCGATGTGGACCTTGTAGCTGGAGTGGCGTTCATCAACTCGTGACAAGGTGAATTTTGAGTCTGCACGTTTCCAGAACTGTAGCGGTGCGCAGAACGCATGCCAAGGAAATCGTCATTTTGATGAGAATGCTTTCTGCTTTTGCTCTAAAACCTTGCACTTGTGCTGGTGCTGGGAGAACTTCCCTCGGCGTCGGAGGTATGAAGAACACAGGTCACAGGGCTCTTCCCTTCCGAGCTGTTGTACTACGCTTCTATCCCAAGGTGACCAAGCCCAAGCCCCGAAGCCTCGAAGGCGGAAAGGCGAAGAAGGCCAATGCGGCTCCGAATCCGAAGTCGCCGAAGACCCCAACTTCCGCCAGAGCCGGGGCAAGAGCACTCTTAGATTCAGGGCCGGCTGCGAACTGGGGATTGGGCTCAGCTTGACGCGCTTCCGATGGATCAGTCAGCGAGCAGCAGCATGCTGTAAGATTGGAGGGCTGTCAGGATGTGCGCAGTTCCAAGGATCCCTGCTGCGGCGAGCAGGGGCAACAAAGTCACTTTTCGATTTCGGCATCGATGATGATGAGCCACTCGGCTGAAAATTTGAAGTCCCCCTCCCCCTCATTCGATGTCAAAACTGTTGTCCAAAGCCTCACTGTGCGGCATTACTCGAGCTTCTGACCTCGGCTTACATTCAGCCTCGCGCCATGGCCTTTGCAAGATGTGATGGCTCTCGAGGGATCTCTGCTGCACGTTCGATCCTTCTTACTCGTACTGGCTTCCAAGTTTAGTCTGCCTCAGTTTCAAGAATGTTCAGGGCCAAGAATCTACTTGCAGCTTCTATTTGATTCTGTTTGTTATATTTGCCTGCAGCCCGTCCGCACAGAATCATGCGCACCTAAGTTATTAAATGGCATGCACAGGAGGCATCGCTGCTTATCAGGAAGTGGCTTATCCGGGCCCATCCTGGTCAGCTGGGTCATTCATGACAGAACTGATCCCGGTTAGGTTTTGCACTTCGGATCTTCGTACAAGGATGCACCGCTCACAGTTTGGGGAATATCTGCAGGCCGGTGGTCGACAGACCACCTCTTCTGGTGGATGACACGATTGAGATAACGGTCTACACGAGTCCTGGAAGGAATCAGTCCGGGGAAGCAGGGTCAGTCCGGGTTCAGGATGTGCTGCGTGGGGCTTTGGAGGACTTTCTGGTGTCCCAGTCCTTTGCGGTTCGACCAAGTTCTCACCAAGGAAGCAGCTGAAGACACTCTGCAGCATCAGGGCCTACAGAGGCTGGAAGCTGTCCGATCTGAAGGATGGAATCTGGACGGAGACCAGCATCGCCCCGATTGAGCAGTGGCTTGGCATGCCGGTAGAGCGGCTTTCGTGCTTCAAACTTCAACGTTTACACTGCTGTCACAAGGCTGTGTTGGCACCTGTTGAATCTACCTTTTGCAGGCTTTCCAGGCACTTGCTGTAGCAGAAGGAAGGCAGTCCAGTGTGGTATCTGAGAGACTGCGTTATGTTGGTGGAGCCCCGGGCTTGTCAGCACAAGGAAACGAGAGTGGCGACGCGTTGTGAAGTGAGACAGGCTAATAGTCCAGTCCCAAATAGTCGGTGCAGAAGATTTGGGACCGAGCCCGCTGCTGCGCTGCTACATGTGTACCTCGTTCCCATCCCAAAAAAGGAAGATCTACGTCAACAACGAAGAGATGCCCAAGAATGTCTCTCGGCCTTGCTTTCAGAGTGGCCTTTGGAGCGACTGGCACTGCGCACGATCTCCGTTAGAGATGCTTTCAGCTGAACACGTTCATCCTGCTCGTGCTTATGGGCAGGTGCTCTTCCAAGATCTTTTTCCCGCTGCCGTTGCCGGGGCAGCTGTGACATTGACAAGGCGATCTCCCGAGCAGTCAGTCTGGCTGACGCTGGGCAGCGAACGGCTGAGTGGTTGCGAGCCGTTGGGATTTTGTTTCTAGCTCCGGTAAATGAGGACGATATTTCCGATGTTAGCTGCGTGAATTCCGAACGAAAGAACGAGCTCTGGCCTCAAGGACATTCGCAAGTAGGACTGCTTGTGAAAGCATGATCTGCCCTGGTTCTTTGTAAACCCCAGAGGAAAAACAGATTTGGAATCCTCACCATCAGCGATTGAAGACCAAGCATGCCCTGTATACTAAGAGGCCACCACGCTTGGACTGGACCCAAATCGAAATCTGAGGCTCAAGGCCGTAATTTGCTGCATCTGCAAGGAAGAAGTGCATGGAGTATGGCCTTCAGCTACAATATGCTCCGAAGGCCTTGGAGGGATTTGTCCATTGCCGTGCCTTCACCAACCTGTCCATCTGATGTGTCGCTTACTGTAGCGGGGATCATTTTAGACCAGTTCCGAGGGCTTTGATTTGGATAAGAGGAGAACAACCCTGGGGCGCTCCAGGCTTCCTAGCCTCTAACCGAAGGGGCCTTCCCTATAACATCCTTGAGCCTTGTTTCTGCAGGACATGCAAAATGACCTGGAGGTTGTCTTGGCAGCGGTGAAGCGGCAGCTCATCTCACCACCATGTCGAAGTCTTTGAAGTAAGTAGAATGCCTGACTTTTTATGCGTTCCATACAAGAGGCGAGGGGTACTGTTGGAGATGTGTGCCTGTGCAGGGACATGATCGGTTCGTGAACCATTCGGTGTATTGCTGCAGGAACCCAAAAGCAATCCAGTACGCGTCCCCGGCCCTACGGAGCCAGACCCAGGCGCTTCCGATGCTGGCGCGCACGTTTCGTCAAGATTCGCCCAGCGCCGACTCACTTTTTAAGCATGTCTCTGTCTTCGGGATCGCAGCATCTCCTCGAAACTCAGATCCTGCTTTTGTAGATCCTGCGGATGTCCATTTTAATCATAACAAGGCACCGTCGGCCCCAGAACAACATATTGCACTGCCAGACGCCTTTTGTTGCTCATAGTCCTGACCTGCACATACACTCATACATAGCCTGGGGGCGCTCTGCCTGTGCGCTGTGCAGGTTCTACTCGCCGCCCTCACCCAGGACGTGGACACTGCAGACTTTCTGGATCCCTCCGTGCCTTGGAGCTTTCGAAGTGAGGGCTTCGGTTCCTTGTTGTGGGGATCTATGCAGATCCGGAGGCAGGAGGCTCAAGCAGAGCACTCGCAATGGGTTTTCAAGCTAACCCTCTGTGTGGTTAATACCTTGGAGCGGAAGTCGAGGTTTGGTCCAAGCGCGAATTCGTGCTCGAGGCCGTCAGAATCGATTGGCAGCTGCTGCGGATGGCCTGCGAGGCGATCCGGGTTTTGTCGATGTCTGGTGCAAATGCTCGGCGTTCAGCTTGGGCACAAAACAGACTGAGGAGTTCCAGAAGGATCCGGAAGTCGTCCTTGCAGCCATCCGGGGCCCCAAGGGGCACTGGGACGCCATTAGCGCTGGCTCTCCGGAAGTTCAGGGCTCAAGAAGACAGCTCGTAGGCCTTTGCAAGTACTGGTACTGGCGATCAGCTACAAGCATTACGCCGAGCCGATACGAGGTCTGGGAGCACATCGAAGTCCCACGAGCAGCTGCGGAAACGGGTGGTTGGACTGTTCATGACATCGCGTCGCACGAGCTTCAGGCATCATTTCTGCTCACTGTCCAGCGCAAAGCGTCAAGCACACATGTTGCTCATGCAGGCTGGTCTCAGAAAGGACAAGCAGTTCGCGCTGAACTGCGTGCGCCTGGATTGGAGAAACTTAGACACCAGATTGCAATTACGTCAGGAAGCAAGCCTGCTTCAACGGGTGCATGGCCAGCGGCTGGCTGTTGATTGTATCCAGCAGGTGCATTACGTGTGTATGCCGAATAAGATGGACTCGCACCTCTAGTAATCTGAAGCCTTTACTTGCAAACCTTGTGAGTTTGTAGCACAGTTTTATCGGAGGGGTGCATGCTGCAAAATCAGCTCATTATTGTGTGAGACTACTATGAGCAAATGACGAACCCCTTCCCTCGGCAAGGCCGTCATATCTTTATCGCCCGTCCATCCTCATGCCACGTGCTTTTGTTGGATGGCGGGCTATGTTGTGGGATCTTTTCCAACATCGGCGGCCAGCCTGTTTGTGTCACGGCCCGTCCAAAGGCAGAACTGCGTTTGCTCTTGCTCGGAAGAAATGCGCGATATGATGATTATTGCCGGCGGTGTGCCGAGTTCACAGAGAATTCTCATCGTCATGGTCATGTAGCACACTCGGAAAAAAAAACGCACAGCATTTTGGCGACTGAGGAGAAGATCGACACTCACCTTCTCAACGATCTGGACCTTCGCTACATTGTAATAGGGCTTGATTTGTACACAGTGGATCACTAGGCCAGCTTTTGTAACTGGGAGGCAGGGGTGTTTTGATACTCTGGCCAGGTACTGTTCGGTGGCATTTCTTGGGCAAGCGTTTCTGTTGCGCTCCGAAAGGCCCTCAAAGCTCAGCGACAGCACAGTGCCCATTGTTCTGGTTGCCTTGTGGGTCCTGCCCGCGACCTTTAGCGGATTTCAGCTCTCTCTGGCAATGCGGCCAGGACATTGCGCTGGCAGCCGTGTCTCAGGATGACATAATGTTTTCCTTTTTTCTCAACGGATACACGGAAGGAGCTTCAAGGAAAGCCTTGAGCCTGCCCGAAGGAACAGGCATCACTGACAGCAGACAGCACCTCAAGACTTGCGTGCTATAGTAAGTATATATATGTATGTGAGTCTCTACTCGCCATGTTAGAAGACCCTATAGGTAGCAAGCATACTAACTGTTATTAACTACCTCTATGTAGTAACGGTTCAGCCTGCGTGCCCTCTTGAACTGGGGTTCGAGTCCTGGGTGTTGAAGGAATCTTGAGGCGGTGGAGAGTTGAAGGGAAGGCGTTGACTGAAAATTTAGAGGACGCATCGATCCTGCGATGTCGGATTCGATTCACGGTTCCTGGAAGGGCAGTGAGGTCTTGTGAAGCACGGGTCAGCGACAATCGTGGCACAGGACTGGCGAGCTTTGCAATGGCTACACGAAGATTTGCGGAGCGATGAGGAAGTGATCCGCATTGTGGTGAATCACAACTTTTTGTGCCTCACCCTGGCCTTGGAGGACTTGCTGGTCTCCTGCATGGGGTTCAACTTCTACGAATCTTTGGGGGTAGGGCCGTTGGCCGGCCCGTCCTTCTGTCAAGAAGAGACTCGTTGAACAGACCTGACAATGCCAGGGCCCAAGGCCGCGAGGCCGCGAGGTGAAGGAGCGAGGGACATACGAGGAAGGCCGGGAGGTCGCGAGGAGTGTGCGAGGTGCGCGAGGGGTGAGGCTGCGGGTTCGGCAGCGAGGTGTGAGGCCGCGAGGTGCCGAAGCCGGGTGCAGCCTTGTCAGGTCCGTTCTGCTTCGGATGCTCCAGAACAAACCGCACAGAAGAGATTAGAGCATATATGAGAAGAAGGGAGCAAACCGCCCAGAGTACATGAGAAACCAGGGGCAAACCGCTCGACAGGGGCTAGAGTCTTCGAGAAGCAGTGAGCAAACCGCGCGAAAGGCTAGACCTTAGAGTGTTTGAGAAACAGTGAGCAAACCACTCGAAAGGGACGAGCGTATTTGAGAAACAGGGAGCAAACCGATCGAAAGGGATTGAGTATTTGAGAAACAAAAAGCAAACCGCCCGACAGGGACGGCATTAATTGACAAACATGGAGCAAAATGCTCGAACGAAATTGAGTGTTCGGCAAACACCGAGCAAACCGCCCGAAAAAGGTAAGACAGCTTCAGGAACACTGAAACAACCTCCCAAATGGTCCAGGTTAGAGGGAGTAAGCCGCTCCAAAGAGACTAGAGTTTTTGAGGGACAGGGAGCACATCGCTCGAAAGGGCCCAGGGTATTTGAGAAACAGGGAGGAAACCGCTGCCGCGGACGGCTAGCAAAAAAGGGCGTTCGCTCGAGACTGTTGTCTCGCAAGAAATAAACAGACACAGGTGACACAGAAAAAAAAACACAAGTGACACAACAAAAACAAAAGCGATGGGGTACCCCACAGTGGCTTCTTTTCCGTCGTACAGTCTAAGTCTGCAGGTTTTGCTATGAGCGTGATCGGCCGATCGGACTCCGCCCCCTTGGAAAATACATGTTTGGTCGACAAGTAGTGACAATACAACTTGCCAACTTGCCGTGATGAATTTGTGTTCAGTCGCTCGGTGCGCCGCCCCCCGTGAAGTGCCAGGAGTTTCCGATTGAGCAGCCGGTGGTGCTTCAGATCATCCGGCAGGATGCCTTCGATCTAGCTTCGGAGTTGTTTGATGAGAGTTCTGCGATGGGCTCGTCTCATCCAGGGAGTCTTGTTGAAGTGGCTGTCTCGTTGCGTTTCGGGCCTCGGGCTCCAGTAAAGTTGCAAGCCCTGGGAATTCGAAGGGCAAGGCCCTGCTTAAACATAGAACCCCTGTGCAGAACTGGGAGCTCTATGCGCACATCAAGGAGGAGCTGCGGATCGATCAACAGCTTTCCCTGGCGGCCATCTCCCAGCGCCCTGGCGCATGGTCTATAGGTTCATTTCGGTCTTGAATTCATGTGCAGATCGCCATTTCATGGCTTATTGCTTAATTAACGCCGGGGCTCGAAGAATTTGTTGACGGGCTCTGTGTGTGTGTGTGCCTGTCTGTTTGCCTGTGTGTCTGTCTGGCTGCGTCTGGCTGTCTGGCTGGCTGTCTGTCTGTCTGTCTGTCTGTCTGTCTCTCTGTCTGTCTGTCTGTCTGTCTGTCTGTCTGTCTGTCTGTCTGTCTGTCTGTCTCTCTCTGTGTGTGTGTGTGTCTGTCTGTGTGTCTGTGTCCGTCTCTGTCTGTCTGTGCTTCTGTTCGGGCCCGGTGGTCGTTGAACACTTGAGCCTACATATGGCAGGTGCTGGCGAGCCCTGGACTTCGCCCCAGAGGCTCGAAAGGCTGACCCCGAAGTGGTCATGGTCGCCTGCAAGCAGGGGCCTCAAGGGTTGTGCACTTCGGCATTGGCGGTGGCTCTGAGAGACTCAAGCTCTCACGTTTCTCAATTGGAGTCGTGGGGCCATTTTGGTGGCACGGACTTGCAGAGCTGCTAAGTGATAAATAGCATTCTTGAGAGCCCGTGGCTGTGGGGCTGAAGCTGGGCTCCAAACCTAGCCAAGGCAGAACAGCGAGGCGATCCTACTGGCCTCGCCCAGCATGCGGCTGGGCACAGGCATAAGCTGATATGCTTCATCCGTGGGATTATTTCGAGCAGAAGCCCTGAGTCGAAACTGCAGATGAGCAAGTCCAGAGGTTCAGTGCTTCGAAGCACAGAAAAACATTCCTCCATCAAGATTCCGCGAGAAGCCCGACAGGGCCTGTGAGGATCTCGAGTGTGCCTCCGCTGCTTGCTCACGCATGCATGCAAGGTTGGCCCACAAGGGTGTGATGTCCATCGTCCTCAAGGATGGGCGGCGTTAGTGACGGAGCAATTGTGCTGAAGAGACCGGAGGGCATCTTAGAAGCCCAGCTCTGGCATCCGGCACCCTGCGAGCCAGGAAGATGCGATGAAGCTGCAGCTGGCAGCCGATAACGTGAAGGATGACGAGGAGATGGTTCTGGATGCCGTTAACAGAGACTGGCGCTGTCTACAGCTTCTGGGATGGCAAGAGTGCAGCAGGTCACGGTACCAGGCTGAAGTGCATGTCGGGCTACCTGCTCATTTCCAGAACTCGTTTGGAAGACTTCGGATTCCTAGGCAGGCTGGCCCGCGAGGGTCCTTTTAAATTTAGCTGTTGCAATGGGCCCCTTTCCCGGTTGTCATCCAAGGGAATTGGCCCAGCTCTTCTGCTCGAAGCCCCTGGCCCCAGAAGATCGGATCATCTGTTGCCCATTGCTCAACTCAGGTACGCCTCTGACCGCGTGCGTTCGATTCCAGACGTAGTTTTCCCGGCGCTTATGCACGACCTCTGCGTCTCTCGGCTTTGGGGAGAGTGCTGCTTGTACTTCCCCACAGGAGTGGAACCATTTGTGCTGAAATCAGTCGCGGCGTTCGTGTTCGGGTCGCGACTTGTCCTTCGAACATCTCCTTGCAGTTTCGGGGGCCATGTTTGTGCATAGTGGCATAGTGGCAACAGAATCAGAATGGCAGACTTCGCATGCAGACTCGTGCGACTCATGTTGGCAACGAGACACTGCCCATGACTCAGTGCATAGCTTCCACATTCTACTGACATGTATCAGAGCCGAGAGATGTTTTCCTCCTCGTCATTGTTGCAGCTTTTTGCGCTGTACAACACTCAACACCGCATACTCGCAAAACACACTTCTGCAGCTTTTGGGCTCGCGCTTGAGTATGGTAGACCAGATATCTGAGGTTATGGATTGGGCATCGACGGCACTCAGATCAGATGCGGCGGCGATGCTGAAATTCATTCGCCACCGGAAAGATGTGTTTCCTTTCGTGACGGACTCACTCATTGCAGATCCAGACTTTGTCCACGAAGTCGGATCGGATAAGAAGCTGGGGCGCAAGCTAGTGATGGGCATCCTCCAGCGCAACTGGCGGTCTTTGGAGCACGTGCCCGAGTTTATGAAGAGGGACCCTGAGATAATCCTCACTGCCGCCAAAATCGACTGGCATGCCATTGTCACGGGGCCCTGCAGAAAGCAGGCGTTTTGTGGGCTTTTCATTGTTCATGTCGCAGGACGCTCTCTCTTGTAGTTGGTGTGGGTTCACCTGCCTCAGGAAATGGTCGAAGACTTCTACGACTGCTGGTACCACCCAAAGATCGCGCTGGCTGCCGTGGAGCAAGACTACAAGAACATACTCAACCTCAACTCGTCCATGTGCCTCGGGGCAGTTCTGTGCCTCGCTTGTGCGCAGTACCACCAGTTCATATCCCATCATGTTAGCGGACTGATCGGAGTTGCTGCTATCATCAAGTTCGTTTCGTGCAACTTCTCTGCCTGGATTGAGCCTGGAATCTAAATCCAGACCCAGCACCTGTTTTTGGTGATTGCTCTGGCGACCTCTGGTCTGGACTGCCTGATAGTTCATGCATGTTGAGAATATGCAACCACCTGTCTCGGCTGTCTAGATTTACATTGCTGATTCTCTAAGGAAGAGCAGAAGGCACACGGACATGCAAGCCTGATCAATGGCAAGAACTAATCTCGATCCACATGCCCACTTAACGCATGCGGCCGCATGCGAGCAATCCTGCAGAAGCAAGTTTTAGCACAGAAACTCCGACAACAGGCCTGTGGGGCTGCCAGAACTCATCCAAGCACACTGTCACATAACACGTGTCTCCAGCCTTTAGCCGTGCATGCGAGTCACAGAGTGGCAGAACAAGAGTCCCGAACCGCACATGAGCAGAAAAGGTGGGAAGATTTGGCGATCGTTGTAGCCGCGGTCCAGCAGTGCTTTGGTTGATGACGACTCTGAGCCTTCCGGCAATCGTTGGTCTAAGACATCACTTAGGAACTACAACATCCTCGAGGAAGCACCTGACTTCCTCGTCCGGAGGCCTTCCGCACTCTTCTTTGCGGACCTGCCAGTCCAACTCCCGAAGATGTTTCCGTGTACGTTCGCAGAAGTTGGCAATTGGGAGGGTCCAGCACGTTGGACATTGGACATCTAGGGGATAAGAGCAGAAAGACCCATCGCCGCGAACGCACAACGCGCTTTACATTAGCGCACGACATGGACTTCTTCGTTCAAAAGCAGCGGCGACAGGCTGTGGTCGGAGGAGGAAGTCGTTCGAGCCGCCGTGGCGCAGGACGGCAGTGGGAAGCTTCAGTCTTTTGGGTTCCGTTCTAGTGGCTTCCATTGCAGCTGAAGGTTGCGCGTTTTTTGCCCGTTCTCTGCGAGGCACAAGGATGCCATTCGGTTCCTATCACGAGCACCCTGCCGCATCCGTGCAACCGCTTTTTGAACGCCGCAAGACAAAACCCTCACACACCAATACACCCTCTGAGAATTGCAGCTCGCGCCGCTGATCCAGGATCCGTCGGTGATGAAGAAGGCAGCGAAGCCACTCTGGGCAGAGAAAGAACTCGTGCTCGAGGCGCGGGAGGAGGGCTCAAGGCCCCACCCGATTCTCGTCACTCTCATTTTATCTCAGTTTGCAACCATGGCTTTGTCAACATGTAGAGAAGAGAGATGAGAAGTTGGTGAAAACGGAATTGAAGGGCTAACATCAATCTTGGAAATCTCGGGTCGAGCTCGTGATGCACCGTTAGCAACGGCAGGCTCTGCATCCAAACCAGATGACTGTCTCGCTAAGCCGCTCAGCCGGGAGGCATGCCGTGGTGACTGGACGATCATGGAGAGATGTCCCAAGGAGTTGGTCAGGACGTGCCTTGCTCTGCTGAAGCTGCAGCTTTCACGAGTCTAAGCACACTGGTCAGTCGGGCATCCCCGACTTGAGGGCTAAGCGGCTTTGGGCTTTGGGTACCAAGAGAGTGAGAGAGATTTGACTTGTCCTAAGTAATCGCACCGAATCTCAGCTTCTGGATATAGCCTGTCCTTGCTGGATTTTGGCGCCTTGCTCTGACGCGTACAGCTCATTAACTGATCGAGCGGCTGCAAGAAGAGGGTGCAGACATCCATCCCTTCTTTGATTTGCTCTCCAAGGTATTGGAAGGACAAGGATTTTGCCATTGCTGCGGTGGCCCAGTCAATAGATGCAATGATCCATGGCATGACCTTTGGGGTACGGCACAAGGACTTGGGCAGAGGTGCACGACAGAAAGGCGGAGTATTCAGTGTCTCTGGGGAGTGGTGGGAGAATCAGAAGGTGATTCCATCGGACAGGAAGTCTACATGCCTTCAGAATGTGTGCAACCATCATCTGGAATGTATGTCCTTCCCGTTTGTATTGAAGTGGGAACAATCGAGGAAGAAGCTCCCGGACAGCTTCTGGGAGGACAAGGACATCATGCGTGTTGCGGCAAAAACCGACTGCAAAGTAACTTGGCCTGAGACGCTCGCGTCTTTTGGTTGCTGGGGTTCCCCGTTTGGGGAATGGGATATACGCTCAGGTTATCTACAAGTGTTCGGCCTACAACCAGAAGTCTCTCCTGGAGGACAGGGAGATTGTTCTTACTTGCGTTGCACAGAGCCTCGGCTTTTGGAAAGGTGCCTTCTCGTCCCATGCCTTATGCATGTCCATCCTTCAATCATGGCTTCTTGGGTCGGTCATTCTGGGCGCATGCCCTGCGATGGCTACAACTTTACAACTCAGGAATGGCCTGGTGCTGAAAGATGCTGATGAAAGCTTGCAGTACGACATGGAGATCGTCAGGACTGCCGTGAAGGAGAATTGGACACTGTGACTTGACTTCTGTTGGCCTCACTCGATAGAAGTTTGAAGTGCCGAGCCCAACATACAACTGCGCACCTCCAGCAATTCTTAGTCTTCAGGCCCGGCTGGCAAGCTTTAGCACTGAGGATGGACAAGGTGAGCAAGTACTACCAGAATGTCTACTGGAATGACGAGGTCCGCGGCTCCAGCGCTGTTTCCTCCAGCTTGGTGCTCTGTAGTTCCTCAGGCAGGAGTCATAGGTTTTGTTCGACGTTGTGTTCAGCTTGGTGACGTGCAGTTGCCGCCGACGACTTTAACTTTCCATAGAGTCCATAGAGGTACTGACATAGAGGCGGCTCAAGAGTGCCACACATCACAGTTGCTTAACACTTTCTGTTGCTGCAGCGGAGCATCTGCTATGACACTATGAGGCACGGTTTTTATCATTTCTTCTCGGATGCACGTGCCAAGTTTCTTGCTTCCCTTAAACGAAGCAAGACTTTGGGATGGCTTGTCTTGGTGGACCCTGCGACTTGCACCTTAGTCGTGGCACGCATGCCACGGACCAAGATGGCAGCCGAAACATGCCCACACAGGACATGCCGATGAACTGCTTGAGCACATCCGCGTTCGTCGCCCAAATGCTTTTGTTGGCTAACCATACAATGTAGGTTTGGCGAGAGAGAGAGAGAGAGAGAGAGAGAGAGAGAGATATATATATATATGTATATCAAACTTACAGCAGCTTGCATCAATGCAGCAGGAGTGTGCAAGGGTGGCCCTCTTCCTGGGCTCCGTGTCTGCAGAGGCAGATCTCTCCTCTCTGGAGAAGGCCCGGAAGCTTTTCTTTCTTCCTTTCCGCTTTACTTCCTGGGCTTTGTAGGGTCTTTCAGCGTTGGTTTCCCCAAAAACATAATGCATACCCTGCGGGGTTCTAGCTTTCAGAGGAAAGACTTGCTTATAGCACTGGTGAGTGGGGCGTGCGGACAACGTTCCGCCGAACCTGGCTCCTGCCCAGGCGCGGGGCATTGCTCCTGATTTGTTGCACAGGATCCGTTTGGCCGCGTCCCAAGTAAGGCCAGGTTCACAATGCATGGGCCACCTTTTGCCCTCCAAGTCTCTGAATCCCACCAGTATTTGGGAAGCTCCTGACTGAATCCCGCCAGTCTCCTTTGTCCTGGTGGTCCTGGTGGTCGCAGTCGTCATGGTCGTGGTGCTAACTATGGCCGTTTGGGGGTCTACCCCACTATATATGCTGAGATAAGTCATACGTGGGAAAACCATGAGCATCAGTCATCCAACCTTGACAGGTGGGCCCAAAGCTCCAGCAGAACAAGGCTCGCCGACACCTGCGATCTTGAGATTGGGAAGCAATAGACACGTGAGACCAGGCAATGCTTGTTTGAGGTCGGGCAAGGCAGACCTTACGATGGCAGCATGCAATGATGAACTGCATCAGCTTCCAGTTTGCAGCCACATAGAACAGACGCCTCGGGTTCCTCTCCGAGTCGACGGGGTTAAAACCGAGATACTGTAGGCCAAGCAAGAACCAAGGATTAGCATCGCAGTTCAGCCTGTTATACAGGTTTGCACGGGCGCCGTGCAACTGCTGCTCTAGGTCGACGCACAACCTCGAAAGACCTTGCCTGGTTTTTGCGGATGGCCGACAATTCCTGAAGAGGCATTCATCTTTGACTGCGTGCGGGCGCGAGGCAAGCTCCTGGAACTGGCGAGGGAGCCACTCGCAGCAAGCCATGTTGTGTCACGGTTTGGAGTTTGGAGCCTGGACGAAGTTTGCAACCGATAGTTCCCTTGGAGCCCAGAAGAGCTACATCTTTTCTTCCTCGTCCTCCCTGCGCCGACGTCGCCCGTTCTATGTCATGGGATGACGTTTCGAGCGTCGCCCTGTCTTGGACTGGGGTTCTGCAAGTCGCTCAACTGACGCCTCTTTCGGCCTGAGCCTTTGGCAGACAGAAGGCCCGATGAGTTTACGTAGAGTAATCCATGTCAAAATAGCTCGGAGTAGAGGCGTCATTTGTCGAGCCTGACACCATTTCCGCCGCAGGACCCCACCACAATTTGCAAATTTATCGATAAACTCCCCAGGTTCTGGGACGACGCCGGCATCGTCCAGGCCCGATTGTCTTCTAGTGCGTTCGCTTATGGCTCTAATAAACAAGCCTGTAAACGATTTCGGCTGTTCAACACGGACGTTGAGATACAAAAGCCGATGACGGCCAGAACTGTTCCCAAAACTTGTAGCGCCTAGAAGCTTATGCCACATTCGCTCAGTTTAGAGTAGTCCCAGAGCGAGCAAATATTCCTATCAGGTTCGACCCAGTCCTCCATAGTCATTCTTCCTGTTTTCTTCGAAGGCAATCTGCATACAAGGTATGCAAAAGGTCCAAAAAATGGTATGACGAACGAGTTAAATACGCTTTCACCGAAGATTCAAGCACTGTGCAAATACAGCGGGAGCGACTAAAGCTAAGGAACGCTTGGGCAGTAGTTCGCCAGGTCAGGGCAAGCAATCTTTATTTCCCTGTCCCACTGGAAAAAACGCAGCAGTCGAGCAGTGCTTCGAGAGAGAGGCAGAGCGAATCCATGCGCATGCTTAAGCTGCAGCTTCACATCGTCGAAAGCAAAACAGCACCCATCAACAGCAGATTCCTGCTATGCTCGTGAAGGGTGTCGGCATCGTCTGAGCAAATCTGAGCTTCGTATTTCGTATGGGAAGCCAAGGCGGCTGTGGCACAAGATGGCATGGCCTTACAGTTCGCATCAGAGCGGCTGCGTGCCGACTATGGCGTGGTCAAGGCCAGGTCCATTGCGCGGATTTGGAAGTGGTCGTCCTGCCTCGTCCTCGTCTCAGCAGTAGCAGTAGCAGCTGCAGTAGTGATGGCATGGTGCATGGCAATTGTTGAATCTAGTCGGAACATCTAGAGTTGGCTGCCACTGCCGCCGCTGCCTTTGTTGGTGCTGCCGCCGCCACAGTTGCTGTTGCTGCTGCTGTCGCTGTTGCTGTGTCTGGTTTTGGTGTTGGTCCCGGTTCTGGTTTTTGTGGTGGGGGCGGTGATCGTGATGGTGGTGGGGGTCGTTGTGGTCGTGGTCGTCCTCGTCATTGTTGTTGCAGCTGTAGCTGTCGTTGCGGCCTGTCGTTATTGAACACGACAAAGTCTCTGCACAGTTCGGCACTGTTCGGCATGTTTCAAAGCTGCCTGTCATGCGATCACCCGAAGATGTGTCTGTGGATTCAGGGTCCGTGCCTCGGTATTGGGCTATGGATCAGTTCGGGCCGGGTAGCCGGGTAAGGTCTATAGAATAGGCCCAACATGACCGAAGTCCTGTAGTCAGAGCGAGGACTACGAAGGATTGAACCTCGCATCTTTCACACTTCTCAGCGAAATTCTTGTTTCTCAATCCCTGGAAGGTGGCAGCAGCTCAGAACCCAGGGGCCTTGAGCTTCGCAAATGAGGAGCTTCTGGAACAAGGAAGGCTCAAAGACACGAAGTGAGGGACCGCTGCTAGTTGTCTGTAGGCCGAGGACGGTAGAGGCTTCAGCTTGGGCGGCTGGACTTCTTCTCAACTTGTCGGCTCAACCTGTGGATCTACGACCCCTGCATGCTCTTAGGCTGACACGGCTCCTCTAACCATTGACGCATCTAGACAGTATAGGGCATAGGCCTAAGAGACATTCGCTTCGAGCAAGGCTGTGCTGTGAGAAGTTGGCTTTGCAGCAACTGCATTCTTCAAAAGCCAAGCTGAACAGCGAGTATTCCCACAGGGGAGTGGCAATTCACTAAAGCAAGAACCCGTGTGACGACTGTAACGATGTAAAGATAGCGTCATTGAGCTACGTGTGAGCGTAAATTCAGCGTTTCGCAATCAAAAGCACTGCCCCCCCTCCCAACCGCCCTCGAATTGGAGCTGAAGCCCACGAAAAGCTCAGTCTCCCAGCCTGCGTCTGAGACGCCGGGGAGTGATAGAAACGAGCCTGCCAAGTACCGGAAAAAGGAAGCAAAGGGGCACTTTGCAGATCTCTAGGCCCTGGCAAACAGGCAATCGTTCAGGAATTCGGCTTGGGTTTCGGGCCTGTGGTGAACACTGGAAAGTTGCAACAAGTAGAAGCGATCCGACTTGACTGGGTGATGCAGATTTCGGGTGGTGCTTCATGTTTCATGTGTTTCCTGCTCCAACTTTTCTCCAGCTGCCGTGCATGGGACCCGCAGCTCGTCCTACACCCTTTCTGCCTGGAGCACAGGAGAAGGGAAAGGGCCGTGGAAAGGGCTACAAGGACCGCGCCGAGCAGCAATGCGGGACGCTCGTGGGGCCTTTCGGGTTTGTGGTGGAGGGGGTTGTTTTCCATTTCAGGTGATGGTCGCAGTTGAGCATTTCGAAAATGTGCCAGGGTGGAGGGCGAGCTTTACATGCTTTTTGCCCCAGGGAGCCTGATAATTACGTGCTGAAGCAAGAGACCACTGCCTGACATATACTGCGGCCTATCACGGCTGAGCTTTGTCGGTTTCTGGACATGCCCAGCATGTCGCACTCTCATCCCGGTCCCTCTTAATTGAGCCGGACAGGACAGTAAGGAAGCCCAAGATTTGCAGAAGCTCAGGTTTCAACTGCAAGCAATACGGACATCGATCCCGAGACTGCCCCGAGCCGCCCGACGAGGCTTGGGCGGTTTGGGGGATTCGGATCTTGAAAAAGGCACTGAATCGTAACACATCGCACCAAATCCTACGCGGACAACCTCACGTGTCGGGACCTGCATGACGTACTGAGAATTTTGGATCGAGTAGTGGTGTATAGTGTTGAGTGAGGAGTCGGTTCGAGCTGCGGGGCCTTGAGTCTACAAGCATTGCACAGTTTTGCGTTGCATCGCTTCCGTTTCAGCTGAAGAAGACAAGGCGGTGGAAGGTAATCATTGGGGGTAGAGTAAGTGCAGGAAACGCGAGCCTGAAAGACGAATAGAGCTGCAGGAGCTGGTGCGCCAGCGACTCGCTGCAAAGGCAGAGAAGGACTGCAACCGCATCGAAGATATCGTTGCTCTCGAACCCGTTTCGAGAGAACCTGTTCAAGCTGATCATCAACAAAGCCTTGCATGCAATGCAGCTGGTATGTGACCATCCGATACAAGTTCTGAACATGCAGGAGCGGAAAGAACGAGGCGAATAGTCAACATGGCAAATGCTGAAGGCCCCGCCCAGGGGGTAGTCAAGGGCCTGCACCGGGGCATCGTGGAATCTCAGCTACTTGAATGCCATATTGAGTCATGCTTCCGTTGGGCAGCGCCAAGATGCAAAGACATTCGCATCCCCAGACCAATACCTGCCAGGTCAGGGGCAGAGTGTCGCCACGGGGCGATTGCTGGGCATTTTGTTGGAGAGCGGGCCTCCTTGGCGTCGGGTGACATTTCAAGAAGATGTTTCGGGTAAGAGGATTCTATAAATGCCAGAAAGCCGAGCCTCGTCTCACCCGCCAAGAGTGTCGCTTTTGTGATCCACGGCTGCCCTCTGGAAACCTCAGCCATGGCCGCGCCAGGAAGTACCGCAGAGACTTCGAATGGCTGCAATCATCACACGCCCCAAGTAAGTTCCTGTTGACGCCAACCACGTACCTATCTGACCTATCTTCATCCACAGTGACATAATAGACGCTACAAGCATCGCAAGCTTTTCTATGGCGTTCTGCGGACTTTCGGTGCGGTGTTCACAAGCAGTCCTGCCCGCAGTTTTCTTCAACAGTAGCTGGCGAAGCATCGACATGCAAAAGTGCTCTGCTCCCATGCACAGGCTTGAGTTCATGTCTAGGGGAGAGGTGTTCATCTCACGCCGTACCGTGCATCGGCAGGGCCGGACGTCCTGGTTTTCCAATGAAGGAGCGAGAGGGACAGAAAGAGACAGATTTAAGAGGTTTCGTCCGATACTGTAGATCGAGGACATGCGAGCTTGCTGCGGCTCAAGTCACCCCTCCCCCAGCCTTGCAGGGCCTCCCCGGCAACCGTCAGAGCACAGCCTGTTTTCTACAGAGCGTACATAGTTCTCCTCGGTGAAGGTACCTTTGGTGGATCTCCGGATGGCAGCTTCCAAGGACGACCCCATAGAATCCCGGAGCCTGGAACGATCTGTGGCGGCTGACTGAATCAGAAGCCTCAAGCCCTGCGTCGCAGGAGCCATCTGTTGTAGACAGTGAGGCTCCCACACCGCAGTGGAGACGCAGCTTGGCAGCAGGCGAATCGAGTGCTTGTTGCGGTTCAGGGTTTAGGGTTTGCCATGGCTGGGCAGTTGCGGACTCTGGTTTGCCGTTTATCGACCAACGCAGCCCCAATTAGAGCCCATGCATAGTGCCGTGAGGTCCATGACAGCATGCAGCGCTCTTCTCCACGCATGCTGTAGTGATGAAGCTTCGAGGTCAGGCCTCAGAACCCCACTCTTGGAAATCAGGAAGTGTTCGCTTGGGCGGACACTGGATCTGGGCTGCCACGGACACGTAGTTCAGCTTCTGATAGGAAGGTTCAGGTTCAGCCCAGACGCAGCCGGCACTTGCAAGCTCCAGGTGTTCCACCAGCCTGGTCCGTAACACCCACGCCCGTGCGCAGCGCATCACGTGCCGGGTGCTGAGCTGCCAGTGATTCTCTTCCGAATGCTTGCAGCGAAGACCGAAGAATGTGCGTTGGTGAATGCAGTAGAATACCAGATGCGTGTACCTGAAACTGGCTCAAGTCCTATTCCTGTGGACCTGACGAGGCAAGTGGCAAGTGTGGCGTCGGCCATGCTTTCCCTTGGCAAGTTTTCCACATGGCCTGCTTGATGCTTTGCATTTTTATCAATGTCGGTTCGCCTGACAAGCTTTCGAGCATTCCTCTCGACACGACTGGCCCCAATGCTGGCAATATGTCGGAAGCGGACCTGAACAAGAGCGAGCTTCTTGCCAAGACCTTGGTCGGTGGAATATGGTGAAATGAAGGTTTGACAGCATGTCCGATCCGAAGGAGAAGTGCGAGACAGAGCTCGGGATGCAGCATGCTCTGATCGAGAAGATGCAAGAGACAACGAATTTTGATCAAGCGGAGGTCTCAGTGGTGCACGAGAGTCCCGAGGAGAGTGTGCAGGAAGCCAACGACATCTTGAAAAGGGTGGTCCAGCAATAGCACAGGGAGTGCCATCCGCAGGCCCGCAAGAAGCCGAAGCACGCTGTGCACGAACATGAAGATGAGGAGCTGGAAGAAGACGTGGTCGGCCCGGGACAATGGTCGCGAGCCCTTTTCAGGCCTATTTGCAGTAATTCCAACACCTGGCTTGCGGCGTCGAAGCCAGAAACAAACCGAGAAGGGAGTCAAGTACGTCCACAAAGGAGTCGACCAAGCCGTGAAAACGTTGGACGGCACGGACTTACCGGGATCGCCCTGACCGAGGCTTACAAGGAAGCCAAAACGGCGGGGAATGCCGCCCAGTTAGCGGCGAATACCGCAGTCTCCAATGCGGAGATGGCCTTAAGATTGTCGATCCTGAGCAGGCTTCGAAAATTGGGATGCGAGTTGCAGCAACGTCGCAGCCCGAAACGCGCACCAAGCCGCATTGGATGCCTAACCGTGTAAAGACACCTGTGAAAGGCCAGATAATGAGCCTCTTGTCCTGGAAATTGAACCAGATGCCAGTGGATACATCATGGGGCTCATGCCTGGGTCAATGGAGCTCCTCGGCGGAAGCTATCGAAAACATGATCAAAACGGGCCAGATTAAATTTCGCTGCTGCCTCAGAGCACTTCGTTACATGAAGAGCATTGAGGCAGCAGCTAAAGGTGACTTGGTCCGGTGCCTCGGCTACAAGACTAGCGCAGTGCTCCTCCCCTGAACTTCTTGAACCGCTTGCTGCAGACGGCGGAGTTCCCCTCTGAGCCATGGTGCATCAGAGAGGCGCCAACTGGCAGAAGATGCCAGGCAAACACGCCGGGAGCTGCTGCCGAGGTTAGAACAGGCGACGGCGAAGAGGGCGACAAGCCACCTCCGAAGCTCCTGGTAAGCGACAGAGACAAAACATGCATTTCTGTCTCACTAGTTGGGCTCAGTGTCGTCCCCCTGCCGACCTATCTGTGAAGATTCCTCTCCGGAGCGTGTGAGCACCACCTCCGTGGCCTTTCGGCTCACCAGTCGTACGCTGAGCTAGAGCTTTCGCTTTGCAGCAAAATGGGCGCCCAACGTTTCCTTTGAGTGCAGCTACTCGCTTGGCAAGAGTTTCTGTAAGTTGGCAGCGGAGCCTTGCTGCCTAGATCCATGGCTGCCGCGGGCACCGGGATGGACGCGACGGTCGAGGACTTCCTCGACACGAGTCCCCGAAGAGCCGGCAGCACCCGGTCGCAGGACCTCCGACTACCTCCTGGACTCGAGACGGCAGGTGAAGTTCCGGTGCAGCTCAACGAGCCCGTCGAGACCACCCCGGCAGCCAGAGACCTTAGTCGGAATGAGCCCGATCTTTCTCCGCCACGCTGGCACAGCTCTGGGCCAACCTGGTGATGTCTGCAGTGTGATAGTGGTGCCTGGGAGGAGCGCGAGCGCGCGCTTTGGGTGTGCTTGATCTGCGGCTCCGACCAGTTCTATGACAGCACCACCCCGACCAGGCGAGAGTCGACGAGAGGAGTGTGGATGTATATGCCTCACCCGGCGCCTCATGACCCGTCGGCTTCTTCAACTTCGGAAACAGCGTCTACAAGCACTTTGCCAGGACCGTGGTCCCCTTCGTCTTCGTCGCACCGGCGGCGGAGACCTCCTTCGGAGCCTTCTGCGGGCGAGTGGGACGAGGCAAGAGCTGAGTCCGAGGCTGCCACTCTGGATGCGACTGTCGACCCGGACACCCTCCAGCCTGTGCCGAGGTTGTCCAGGAGGCAAAGGCGAGCGGCAGCGGCGGCGAGCCATCGACCTCAAGAACCTCGTCCTCCTCAAGTTCCGCGTTCGGTGCTACCTGAGCCCACGGGTGTTCGTGGAGAAGGCGGCTCAGGACATGGCGGATGGCGAGACAAGATGCTGCAAGACCTTGGCGACCTTCGTTTGCAGCAGAAGCCAGCAAGTGAATGGAACAGCAGGAAGGGCCCCGAGAAGGGCATCAAGTTTCGCGGTGGCGCCCCTCCTGCGCCACCCGCCTGGCACTACAACAAGGACGACCTGCGTGCCTACGACCGTTGGGAGCGAAAGGTTCGTGTGTGGCAATTGCAGGTTGCCGCCTACCTCCCTGAGAATGAGGCGGCGATGGCTCTGTTCGTGAGCCTGAAGGGAGAAGCAGAAGATGAGCTCGAGACGGCAGACCTCCAGAAGATAAATAGCAAGGACGGCGTGGACTTTATTTTGGATACTCTCCGCGGCGCCCTCAAGACTCGTGCTATTTATCAGAAGCGCAAGTACATACACGATTTCGAGCACATCTCTCGCTTTCACAATGAAAGCGTGAGGAGCTTCTGCAACAGGTACCACCATGTGGAAAGGGCCCTTCAGTCGTGTGGGGTCGACATAGCCCCTATGTACGATTCCGAGGCCCGTGGCGCGCGGCTTCTGGAAAGGCTGCGCCTGACAAGCGAGCAGCAACGCATGATCTTGATCGGCACCAATCAGGCCCTTCATTTCGATGCCGTGAAGGAGGCGGCGCAGCTGCAGTTTCCGGAGCACCGGCCGCTTCCACCCGTGGTCTTTACGCGGGAGTTCGATGGCGGCAAGCAGGCGCAGCACGAGCGGCCACAGGACAAGGGCCCGCCAAAGGGCCTGGGAAAGAAGGGCAAGGACAAGGGCAAAGGCGGCAAGGGCTACCGCACCTATGTCGCCGAGCACGCCGACGACCCGGCCATCGAGGATATCGAGAGCCTCGACGGCATCCCGGAGGACGAGGCCGAGGCCGAGGACGACGGTGAGATGAACACCGCCGACGGCGATGAAGAGGAGCTCCTTCCGGACGGTGACGAGGGCGACGGCGGCGACGACATTGCCCAGGCGATCATGGAGGCCGCGGGCGTGCTGACCGTGACGGCCCGCCGTTTGCAAGGAGTTCGCCTTGGCAGGAAGTTCAGCGCAACAAGGACACTGGGCTGGAGATGCAGAGTGCTCTTTCAGCAAAAGCGGCGGCGGCGGCAAGGGTACACCAAAGGGTGCCACCAAGAGTGCCGGCAAGCCGGGCAAAACAGCGGGCAGCGGATCTAAGGTCATGATTGTCCGCGCTGAGGGCAGCACTGCTACCTACGAGCCGGCGGTCGAGGAGCCGCCCCCGGAGCAGGAGCAAGAGTACGGCAGTTACTTTACCACGTTTGTTTGTGCAGCTTTTCCTGTGGCACACAATGTGTCCGAGGTGCTTATTACCAAGCCGGCCGACTTCGCTGGCTATGCAGTGCTCGACACCGCCTGTCAAAAGAATGTGTGTAGCGGCAACTGGTTGCATGGTCAGCGAGAGCTCCTCCGCAAGCTTAAGATGAGCATCAAGACTAAGCCCGAGAAGGAAGGGTTCCAGTTTGGGTTTGGACCCGTGCAGTTCAGCTCTGAGCATGCATATGTGCCGGTCGCCCTGGACAATAGCATGAGCACGTGTTGTTTGTTCGGGACCAGTGTGCTGCACGAGAACTGTGAGATTCCCTTGTTGCTGAGCCTCCACATGATTGAGCGCAAGTTGCAGGCAGTTCTTGACTTTCCCAAGGGGTGTGCATACTTCGGGGCTTTTGGCATTGAGGTTCCCATTGCTAAGATCAACGGTCACTTGTGCATCGGCATTGCCAATTTCCCCGGCGATCGTTCACTTTGGGCCGTGCTGAGTAGAGTTTTGGATCAAGGCGAGCCCGACCTCGACTTGGTGAGGCAGCCCCTCGAGACCACCTCGGCGCCGCATGGAAACCAGCAGGTCTCCGCCCTCATGGCTGATAGCGTGGCGCCACGTGGTGTCCTACCTCCTGCAGGTCGAGGTCACCCTGGTGAAGTTCATGTTGCAGACCGTGCGGTTAGGACTGAGGCCCCGCTCGTGGATAGCCCATTGCGACCCGATCCACCAGGATATGTGCACTCGGATCCTGGAGCAGATGGTGGCACCGTGCTCCCATCCGGCGACCTCATTGGCAAGGAACGGGAATCAGCACGGAAGTTTTTCCCGGTGCACCCTGTGCGGGACGCGATGGCGATGGGCCCTAGGGGCTTGGGAAGAGCTGCCATCCTCGCGGCAGCTGCAGCTTCCGCAGCCCTCGGCAACTTCCTCGGCACGACCACTTTGGGCCCGACAGCTGGCCCCGGACTTCGAGACCCGCTCTTCAACACGGCGGGCGACTACGGCACGGACCCGCTACGTTCCTGGAGCCAAGGCCACGACCCGAGACATGAGGATCCCTCCGGCTGGCGTGGATCCAGACAGGCCTTTGGCGCTGACGGCCCGGGAGAGAGCATCTCTGGCTCGAGGAGCACCTTCCGAAGAAGGCCCGCTTCGGCTGAGCGAGGAGGAGACGCGACTGATGGAGCGGGACGCGGCCGAGATCGAGAGGATGCGGCGCGAGGTGGAGTTCTTCGACAGGCAGGCCACTCTCCTGGAGGAGAGAGCCCTGGCTTCAGCCCAGGCAAAGGCCGCAGCAGCAGCGCCGGCCACGGACACCGACGAGGAGGACTACGACTGGAGCCTCGTGCTGGATCCGTGAAGCGCGGCACCAAGACGTGGATCACCGGCTTCCTGCGGCAGGCCCAGAAGATCTACGAGGCAGAGTTGGACACCTACGAGGCCCTCCCTGTGTATAAGCAGGTTGCGAATGACTACCGCATCGACGTGATGGACGTTGGTACGGGTATGAGCCGCCTCGCCGACTTCTGCTCCCGTTTCGGTTTGAGTTTTTTACGACCTGCGAGCACGCAGGCAACCACGGGCGAGGACACCAACTTCGTGATGAAGGTTATCGAGAAGTTCCGGCCTTTGTGCGTGTTGTTGCGGCTCCCGACTTCTTCGGCGGCCACCGGTTCTTCTCAGGAGAGATTTGTTTCAGAGTGCGCCCGGGCCTTTGCTGAACAAGGTGCTGCAGGACGTCTATTCCTTTGTGAAGGCGCTCCTGATGCTTCCTCTTGGCACCTCGACTCTGTGAAGCAGCTGGCCCAGACGCAGGATAGCAAGCTTTTTCAGTGTGATGCTGCCGCCCTCGGGGCGGAAACCGCCGACCGCATGCCCGTTGCAACCCGGCACCAATGGCTCACGAATTCGAGCGTGCTGGCCGAGACCTTGAACCAACGTCTGGCCGAGCACCACTTGGACTACTGCGACCCCGGCGGCCCCGACGACAACCATGACCTCCACGACCTCGTGCTGTTGGCTGTTGTGAAGGGCATCGCTACCGAGGCGCGCCGGCGGTTCCCAAGCCGCTTCTCTGAAAAGAACCACCAGGTGCTCTTTGCCAGACCGAGCCCCGACGCAGAGGCTTGGAGGACTGTCCTCGACGACATCGAGGCGAGGTTCTCCAATACGCACAAGAAGCCCTTTTACTTGACGGCCGGCGACCCCGTGTACCAGGCCGTTGCTCAGCTTGTGCCCTGGGACTTGACCAAGGTGCAGGCAACGTGGACACCGCAGGCCCGCCGACTTCCTCAGGAGTTTCCTTACACCCACCGTGGGGCCGCACTGAGGTTGACCACCGGTGAGTTCGCTTTGGAGGCCGAGGACCTCGCTTCTGTGAGTTTTCCGAAACAGCGCTTCGTTCGGGCTATTAGGGTGGCGGTTTTCTTTTACGGCATGCCAAGAAAGCCACCTGAAGCTAACGAGCCAGCACCTTCCGAACCACCACCACCGCCTGGCGACAGAGAGGAAGGGGCCGTCGAACGTCCAGACAGGCACCACTTGCCGGGAAGGTTCATGAGCCGGCAGCCTGTGCCCGGTCTGGACACAGAAGTCTGGTTTGAAGGCAAGGTGGACAAGAAGCTACAGGCTTCTTTAGCACGTTTGCACCTGAATATGGGGCATCCACCAAAAGCAGAGCTAGTGCGCATGTTAGCAGCAGCAGGCACGTTGTCGGGCAAGGTTTTGTCCGCTTTGGACAACCTTCGGTGTGGAAGTTGTTTGAGGACCCGACTTCCCAGACAGCCTCCTCCAGCAGGCTTGCCGAGCAACTTCAGCGGGTTCTTTGGGGAAGTCGTGCAAGCAGACTTGGTGTATTTGCGCGTGATCCATGGCAGCAACTATCCAGTCCTTGGAATTACGTGTGAGGCCACTTCTTATCATGTGGCCAAGGTCCTCGACAACAAGACGCCAGCACATGTGTTGGCAACGGTGCAAGAGATGTGGTATAGACCGCTGGGTCTTCCTTTGAAGTTTCGCTGCGACCCCGGCGGCGAGTTCGGAGGAGAAGTGGTCCAATTCCACATGCGCCACGGCATCATTCACGATGTCATCCCCGCCGAGGCCCATCACCGGCTGGGAAAGATTGAGCGACGTAATGCACTCCTTCGCTCCATCATTGAGCGGCTGGTGGATGAGAAGGGCGTCGCCACCAAGGATGAGCTCGACCAGTGCATCATCGCCGCGACCTTCACGATGAACTCTTGCACTTTCTCCCACGGCAGATCGCCTTACCAAGCTGTTTTTGGGAGAGTTCCGCGGCCACTCGGGGATCTGCTGAGTGATCCTTTGAGCCTGGTGATTTCGCCAGAGCAGCAGGTGCTTCGACCGGAGGTTTTGCGTGCAGATGCGATGAAAGCCCTGGCCGAACACAGTGCCAACAGCAGCGTCAAGAGAGCTCTTTTGAGAAAGACCCATTATCAGGTCGATCTCCAGCAGCTCCAACCTGGGCAGGCCGTCGCCTTCTGGAGGTGGAGCGGTCGGTCCCGCCAGCACAAAAAGGGAGCTTGGTCCCTTGCTCGCTTCATTAGCGTTGACCCCGACAACAAGTCTGTGTGGGTCCAGGTGAACACGACGACCGTCAAGGTTGCTGGCAACCAGATTCGCTCTGCGTGTGGCTGGGAAGAGTGGACCCCTTCCCGCGAGGATGTCGCCATCTTGAAGGATGCCGAGCGGAATCTCCGCGAGGACCTGTGGCAGGACGGCCGAGAAGAGCCTCCGGGAGAAGCCGAAGCTTCTCAGCTAGAAGGTGCGCGAGAACAAGTTCCTTTACCTCCCCTCTTTGACAAGGACTACTGGCAGTACACCAACGAGTCGGCCATTCGAGTTCACGTCGAGCCGCGCCACGACCTCTTCGTCCCAGACACGTCCGTGTGCGAGTTCGACCTCAACGACCTCGAGAGCCAGAGGGAGACGAGAATGACTGGACAGCTTGAGCCGTTGCCGTTGGACGACTGGCGCGACCCTTCGTGTGGCCAGACCTGGGAGCAACCGTGGACCGGGACTACGACTTTCAAGTGGCGACGTTCCTCGCGAGACGCAACGCAGGACTCGGGACAACCACTTCCTCTACCACTTCGGCTTCCGACGTCTACGGCAAGGACGGCGACCCCGTCGAGGAGAAGTGTGCCAGTCCAACAGGGACAAGTTCAAACAAACGTCCAGCAGGGACAAGTTCAGACAAACGTCCAGCAGGAACAAGTTCAGACAAACGTCCAGCAGGGGGTCTTTAACCAGTACGTGGACAACCGCAGGGTGACCATGGCTGCGCCTTCACCTGTACCACCAACGCCTAGGAACCGGCGAGGAAGGTCCCGTACACCGAGTCGTCGAGCTAGGTCTACGACAAGGTCACCAGTGGCGTCAGGTCCTCAACGTGAAGTACTACCACCAGCAGAGGCGACAGCTACGCTGCCCGAGGGGACCCCACAGCCTTTGACTCCCGGCGAGTTGCCGTTTAGCCCAGGAGTTCCCGAGACACCACCGTTCAGTGCAGTGGCGCCAGGTACCCCGGACTACAACGACCTGCCCGACGATCACAGGAGCGAGCGACCGGAGCTACAACGAGACAGCGGAGTTCTCCAGGACAGCTCCCACGACAACACGCACCACGAGCGCAACGACAACGCGGCACAGGTAGAACCTGGTGCAAGCGAGACGGTTGGCGACTTTGAAGCCAACCCGTTTTCTTCGGCAGTCCCTGCCTCTACTTCTTCTTCTGCGTCACAAGGCAACAGCGCAGCAGCAATAGGGAGTGAACCTCAAGCACCACCACCTCAAGAAGCTTTGCAACCAACGCCACTTCTGCCTCAGAAGCGGCCCGCAGACGCACTCTTCACCACCGGCGCCTACAAGTTCCTCTTCGACGACTTCGGCGAGGGCACCCTCTTGGACGAGCCTCTGGGCGGCGACTACCTCCCGGTGCCCTTCAGCCGGTCTGGCTTTTACGACGCGTACCTGACGAGCACCGTGCGCGACAAGGAGATGAAGGACGCCAAAGTCGACCAGGAACCGCAGAGGCCTGACGAGAGCTCCGACGACGAGAGCCTGACCGTGTCCAGCGACCGCACCCACACACGTCAGGAGCTCAAGCAGTTGGATCGTGAGATCCCCTGGCGGGAGATCATGAAACAACCACGCCAGGCCATCGAGAAGTACATGGACGCGGTGCGAGCCGAGGAGGAAAACTGGATGAGGTGGGGCGGCGTTCGACCTCTTCACCCTTCCGAGGCCAAGCGTGTGCTCCAGGACAGGTCCCTCACTCGGCGGATCCTTCGCAGCCGAGCTGCGTACCGCGACAAGAACCGCGGGCTGGGTGAGATCAAGGCAAAGTGCCGAGTTGTTTTGATCGGCTGCCAGGATCCCGACATCTTTTCCATCACAAGAGACAGCCCGACACCCTCCAGGTTGTCAGAAGCTTTGGTTTTACTTGTGGCCACGGCCGGCGCGAACGGTGAGTTCAACAACGAGAAGGCAAGATGGTTCTTGTGGGTCTCTGACGCCAAATCCGCTTTCCTTCAAGGAGAGAGGAACACAGAGGAGCGAGCAGGGCCTTTGTACATGTACCCTCCTCGAGACGACCTCATGATTGAGACTGGCGCCTTCTCTGCCGAGCTCTACGAAGTCATCGGCAACTGCTTCGGACTTCCAGACGCTCCCCGCGTCTGGTACCAGAAGGTGCACAAGCGCTTGCTCGAGAAGAAGTTCAAACAGCACTGCTTCGACAAGTGCCTCTACTACTACGTGGACGCTTCTGGGCGGTTGCGTGCACTGATGATCGTGCACGTCGACGACTTCTTGTGCACCTACCACCAGGACTTCGACGCCGACATCCTCAAAGATATGTTCGTGTGGGGTTCTGTTACCATCGTGGAGCCCGACTCCTCCGGCACCTACCGCGGCAAGGAGATCCTGAAGGTGCGGCGCGGTGACAAGTTTGTCTTCAAGGTGACCCAGGAGGCCTTCATCGAGGGCCTTACTTCCGGCTCTGTGCCCCGCGGCAGGTCCAAGACCGACGAAAAGCTGAACGCCTCTGAGTGGAAGGAGTTCAGGAGCCTGGCCGGCTCCATTCAGTGGTTGGCTTCTCAGACTCGTCCAGAAGTGGCTGCTGTGGTGAGCCTCTCCAACAGGGGTGGCGAGACTTCTGTGACGGACCTTAAACGCTTGTACGAGACCGTCGACTACCTCAAGGAGACGAAGACCAGTGGCTTGACCTACCAGGCCATCCCTGTGAACCCGGCGTCGATGGTCGTGACCTACGCGGACTCTTCGTGGGCGAACGCTAACCTGAAGAGCCAGTACGGGCTTTTGGTTTTGCTGTGCCCACCACAAGCTTCCGAGCAGCCGGTTCGCGCCACTTTGTTGGACTGGAAAAGCTCAAGGAGCACAAGAGTGTGCCGCTCTACGTTGGCAGCTGAAGCTTCGGCGGCGGATGAGGGCGCAGACCGAGCGGCTTTCGCCAACATGTGCCTTTCTGAGCTGCTCTACGACGAGCCTGCCTTCAAAACTGGTTGCAAGCTGAACGGGCGTCACGTTACAGACGCCAAGAGCCTTTACGACTGCGTGGTGGCAGAAAACCCGAACGTGGCAGACAAGAGGAGCCTCGTCAACGTCCGCTCCATCCAGCAGACTGTCTCCCCAAAGGAGATGCACTGGGTACCAACACGCTTGATGTGGGCGGACGGGTTAACCAAGTTGGACAGCAGTTTGCTTCTTCGCTTTGCCGAGTGGCTAGCCGACCCGTTTGTACAGCTACGGGACACTGGTGAGCCAACAAAGAATAGTACCAGTGTGAAGATTCCTCTCCGGAGCGTGTGAGCACCACCTCCGTGGCCTTTCGGCTCACCAGTCGTACGCTGAGCTAGAGCTTTCGCTTTGCAGCAAAATGGGCGCCCAACGTTTCCTTTGAGTGCAGCTACTCGCTTGGCAAGAGTTTCTGTAAGACTATCAACCTCAGTCGACAACTTGATTCTTGGTTTCCTCAGCCATTTGTCGGAGCGCCCGAAAGCAGAGCTTGCACAGCCTGGCCTCGGAAGGCCATGTCCGGGGCCTCGTAAATTCTAGGGAAGACCGACACTAGTAAGACAATGGTATATAGAGTCTGAGTCAAGTAACACCCATCAGGGCTTTTTCAGAAGGGTCTCGTGTGATGCATGCGATACTTTCCAACCTGCGAGTGGCCCCTTGTGATCCCTCGCTGTCTTGACTGCGCAGTCTTAGCATGTCTTTGTCTTGTCAGGGTGGGGGGCTTCGTGCAGGCACAACCCCTCGCTTTCGTCTGATGCAGGCTGGACTTTGGGGGCAGGAAAACATGGATGCGGCAGAACCCGCAACGAAGAGGGCCAGGTCGGCAGTCCTTCTTTCAGCCAAGGAAGTGCTTTGAGAAAGCATCTTCTCTTTTTTTACATGACCAACTGCACATGGAAGTCGTCATCGCTAGCCGAATGCAGCTTTCAGGCTGAGAGTCAGCGACAGCCCTGAACCCTGGGCCAGGCTGCAGAGAAGCCAGCAGCCCGAGAGAAGGAGCGCTGGCTCTGCATTTCCGGCACCTCGTCACCTCGGCCCCGGCTCAAAAACACAGCAACAGTGAAACCGGTCGACTACCGCAATATACGTGTTTGTCGTATTGATGCAGCAACAAACCCCATCGAAGCTGCGGTCTCAAAGAAGTCTTTGTGCATCGAGTCAGCCCTGGCCCTGGTCTTTGTTTCAGCTAAGGACATCACCGGCCTCTGGGCAGATGCTCGGCAGCCATAAGGATCTCTTTCCGTGAACCTCCCGTGTTCCCCTGTCACGGAGCCATGGTTTCCAAACTGGAGCTGGAAAGCATTTGCTGTTCTGAATGCGCAAGAAACATCAACTTCAGTTCCTGATGGGAGAGGATGACGAACTGCAGGTGCTTGCACCAAGAGTGCAATGTCTCCGCCTTTTCATGAAAATTCCTGTAAGATGAAGTATTATGCACCGGGGATTCCCCAAACTCCGAAAAGTATGCCCAGCGACTCCAAAATAGCAAAACTCGTGAGGATCGCTTCTTGAAAGGTGACTGCCATAGTGGACCATAGCGATATTTCAGAGTCTCTTGACGAGCCCTTTCAAGCAGGCCTATAACCCCGAAACCTGGTGTAGCTTTGGTCTGCAGGTTAGCGATCCGGAGGACCGCTGCCACTTGTTTCGTTGGCGGCAAGCGCCAGATGGCAGGCGCATGAGAAGGGTTTGGGCTCAAGGGCATTATTGTAGAATATACTGGGGCTTGTTAACGGAATTGCACAACTTGTATGACATTCCGAGGTGTCATAATGCACGGTCGTACAGAGGAGGAACATCCGGCAGCATGCGGCAAGCGCTTGTTCTGCTCCGCGGAGGCTTGCGAAACTGTGGCCAGGTGAAAAGGCATAATTATGTGGTTGCGCTATGGGACCGTGGCTCGGAAGTTTGACATGGGTGGTGCCTGCACCAAGCCCTAACGGCCCTAGCATGTCGGCAGCGGCCAGGAGTTTCGAAGGAGTCCAGATCGGCTTCGAGGCACGGGCTCGCATCCGAAGCAGCGCTCCTCCTTTTGATTCTTGATGCCTGAAGTCAGCATGGCTCTCCTGTGAGGGTCTTGAAGCTCTTTTGACAGGCTAGGTCGTTGCTTCCGTGTAGGCTTCACGAACGACTACGCAGGCGACCAGTGATGGATGCATCGAAGCCGGAGCCATTCGATGGCGAACGACCGCCAGGGGCTTGGCAGCCTGTGCCTGGGTCAGTCGGATCCTCCTTCGGCATCAGGTCCAGGTGCTTTCGGTGTATCCGCTTGACTTCGGCTTTTTGGAACGCGCAACTTTTGCGGCAGATTGAGACTGGTGAGACTCCGTGCCGCCACTACCTCTAGGAGCATATATGATAGCAGATGGCACGTGTGACGAAATGCCTTTGCTAAAGTGCCAGAGCCCGAGTTCACGTGGCTAACAAGACTTCCAAGAAACTCGTGGGAAGGGCCGGATCTGGCATGGTCAGCTGGATCCTACAGGACAGGCGGTTCTTCAGAGTTCAGTGAAAATGTTACTAGCAACGGTTTCCATGAGCTCTTCCAGGCCATGATTTCACAAGAGCTCCACGAAAATGGCTCTGGAGACTTTCAGCAAGAGTACGTGTCAACAGCACTCACTCGGCCACAAATCTGCGACAAGGAATGCTCCCGTCAGCTTCAGATGGTCTGTGGGAGTTCGGCAAAACCGTTTCACTGCAGCTCCTCTTACCAACGAGAAGTACGGGCATTGTCATTTTCCAGCATCCATGACCTCGAGACGTGAGACCTTGAAGTCTTGAGTCCCTTTTCCTGTCCTGCAGGATGGTGCATCCGCGATGGCTTCTACACAGCAGTTGGAGCATGTGGGCTGCTGCACTGTTGGTCAGAGCTCAACTGCAAGCAGGACAAGGAAGCCAAGATCCAGGATCCATCTATGTACCTATCAACCTATCTATCGATCCTCCATCCATCGGCTAGATACTGGTAGCAGCCAGCTTCCTTCCTTCCTTGCGTACCTACCAAAGGCTAGCTAGCTACATGTTTATGTTGAGCCTGCAACGCAAGCCTGTGACGGAGAATCGTGTGCAGGCTCATGTCAACACAGAGCCATACAAAGCCTGCCGCTGAGGCTTCTATACCTGCCCCGCCGGAAAGCGACTCGGCACCTTTGCGGCCATCCGGCAACGCGAGGCCCGGTTTCCCATAGGTTTCCCCGAAACCTTCAGCTTCCGGAGCCGACCTGTCGAGCTTCTACATTTAGGGACAACCTGGGTATTGGAGGAATTATATGATCCAGTGTAACATCCTAGTCCTAGCCCGGTATGACCGTAGATGAACATAATATAGTCTCACAGTCCAGTATGATTTGAGATGATGTCAGGATGAATCGAAAATTCCCGCTCATTCTGCCAAGAGACACATTTCAAACCCCAACACGGCTTCATCGCCCAATATCTATTGTGCCAAATTGGGTTGACTGTGTCCAGCTGATTCAGCTGAATGTCTTCTTGACACGGCAAGATACGGGACAGTTCAGCTGCATGGACACATCGGCTTGGAGTGGCATTTCGGCTTCTCCCGGTCACGGACACTCGTAGGTCGTAGTTGTCAATGGCCAAAACTGTTCAACAGGAGTGCGTGCATTGTCTGAGAAACGGGAGCTCTTGCAATAGTTTTGAGATTTCTACTTGTATGCTTGAAATGTGATTGATCGTCGTGCTGTGTCAGCTAGCCTTTACGGCCCAGCGCGGCCTGCAGGCTTTATTACCTCTTATTCCCCCCTATGCACGTCAAGTGCAGGTCCAGCCGGACGAGCAGTTGCCACAGGTGTCTGGGGACAGGCCGGGGTCCGGAGCATTCTGACAGGAGTTCCCCTTGTGGTCTGAACTTCGGAGGTCGAAGATGGAGTTTCAAGACTGGGCTGATGGCCTGTTCTTCTCCCTGGACCGCGATGGCAAGGACAGCTGGTGATGACTGGTCAGAGGTCGTCTTTTGGGTCTCCAAACCCTAAATCGTGTACTGTAGGGCTTGGGTGTTTGTGTAGGGCTTGGGTGTTTGGGTGGTTCAACTGCGGCCCTAGTGTAGTGTGTATGTCTTGTCAGACTTGTCGGGAAGCCTTATAGCCTTATTGCCTTGTGCGAGAGTGAGAGAAGCTGCATCATAGGGCAATACTTTTGGAAGGTGAGAAGTGGGATGGAGTGGAATAAGCATCAAACGCGCAAGCGAATTCAAAAAGACGAGGAGCCTTTAGACAAACGCTGCTCCTTGCATTAATTGCAAACGCAGTCTTCAGATCACGCCCTCGAGACCAGTATGCACCGGCAAAGGGCCTGCCGCGACCAAATCTGCCAGCGAACGAAGATGACACAGGAATAAGGTCCTGAGGCAGTGCTGTACGGGGTCATGCCACAGGCTCTTGCCCATTTGTATCTTTGCCGGCTTGGGTGTTGCAGCCAAGCGCCGTCCATGTGCATTGACCAGAAGCCACCACGCCAGTATCATCATGCAGTTGTGTGTGCAGCCTCCAGCCACGGGTAACACAATATAGTTTTACGCATGTCCTCGGCGAGCCAGAACAAGAGCCTGTGCTCGTTACACATCAAAAAGCTAGATCAGCTAGATGCATAGTTTTTGGCTGTGCTGTGGATGGCTCCGATTCCACGCAGACACCCCTGCCACAAAGCAATTTGGCATCATTGCCGAACACTTATCTAGGCTGTTCATGCGACTGGTCGTCCCTTATGGGCCATCACGCGGAACACGACAAGCACTGTCAGACAAGACGAGTTCGCTGCAGAACGAGCTTGCCGAACATCCTGCCAGTGTCGCTGCTGCAACAGCGAGCAGGGCACTACTCGCAACGTCTATCCTTTGCACCGGTGTCCGGGGTAATACTTAGATCCAGCAGTCTTATACAAGGTCTCAATTTCCAAGCAGGCATTGCTCAAACGACTGTTTGTTTGCGAGGCGAATTTCTTTCCAAGTGGTTGAGTCGCGGAACAACGTCGTGTCTTGTGGATGCCGCATGATCCCGTTTGAATGGTTCGAACAACAGGTCGACAGCCAATGTCTTCACCTTCCCGCCAGTGTTTGCAGCATCTGCACACATGCAATAATCCTGCATCGTAGGTTCGTCCTAGCCAGGCGGGAGGCAGAGAAAATAATCCTGCTATGGGCGATCTATCCTCGAGGCACTGGGGCACAGCAGCGCGCACCTACCCTCCTGCTAGGAGGGGCGTTCTGAGCCCTATACAGAGGCCGTACAATAATTGGAGCAGGCTTTGGGGGTACTCGTATGTTGTAATGTACTCCCCTAGGGACTATAAGGGGACAGTGCTAGCGATCATAGTCCGGTCCCTGTGGCCCCTTGCATGAACTCAGGAGCAGCTCCTGGATGCAGATGGCTTGCAGGCTTCTGGAGTCGGAGAATCGCGGTGGTGGGCTGTTGTGACAGAGCTTGCCTTGCCAGAGGTTATGGGGCCATGTAGAGTTCGCGAGAGCTTTCTGTTCACATCCAGCTTCTTGTGCCAATCGTGTTTGTGCTTGAAATTTAAGTCTCGGGTTGATTGATAAGGTTGCAGCCGTGACATGTAGCCAAAATTGTGTCCATGAAGACTTCGTTGCCTGAGCAACTGACCCAGCTCGTGCATCTGCAGGATGCAAACACAGTTTCCACTCAGATTTGCAGTTGCCACCCTGGTGATGCCAATCTCCCTACATCCCTGAAGATCTGGTTCGGCGCGGAGTGGGCTCCGTGCTCTTGTTGAACCATCGCTGTTCATGTTTGGTCTCGGGAGTGAGAGCTAGGGTGCAGGTCATGATGGAGTGGGAGAAGCCGTACATGGAGAAATGCGTGGACGAGTTGAAGGTCACCGCTGCACCCTGCCCGCAATAAGCAAAGATGCTCGTTAGAGTTAGCAGCTGTTTACACCCAGAATCGTAATTTGCATTTGAAGGACACGGATGTCCTCGAAGTGGGATTCGGTTGCGGCTACAGCGCCAGCCGGATCCAGGCCTGTTGCCATGAAGCGCAATCTACGTGAGATCACAACACACTTGGACAGTCTCAGCTGAGCATCTCGTTAACGAAGTGCCAGATGTGAGGTCGGTCCGACTCGTGTGCTGGACCAGATTTGGATTGAACCAGATTGAGCATGCAACCATTGGACATGCGTCGTGACAAATCGCAGGGTTCGGATTGAGAGATGAACAAATGGGCACAATCAAGAACCCCTCATCCTCTAATCACATTGGCCAGCCCGTGTAATTCTTGAGCGGGTGAGACGCATCTCTAGGAGTTCAAGCCCCGTTCCCACACGATCATCGAATGCGTCTTGGCTCGATGGGGTTGAGTTTACTACTTGCAGTGAGTCATTCGTGGTTTTCACTGTGGATTCGGCTCAATTAAAGGCCAGCCTTATGCTGTCGTCCCCGCAAGCTACATCGTGTAGCTCTCAGGTCTTAGGTGTCGGCTTAACTGGTTAACTTCTTGCGGGCGTTCTGTTGCAGGGCTCCAATGGTCCAAACCCAAGGGGCCGAGGTTAACTACATTGCAAGCACCGCTAGAAGATGTTGGTTTTGCATGGCTTATCTTCATTTGAGTCATTGCACAACAGAGGCTCGGAGGTGGTTCTGGAGAGGCTGAAGCATTGGGCAGCCGACAAGCCGAACGCACCTTGGGCCGACACATGCATATGCAGACACGTTTTGAGACACTCATTCGGTCGTTTCGCGGAAATTGTTAAGTAATGTGTTCTGCGTAGCGGCGCGAGTTCGGCCTGTTGCGAAGTATTGTTTGAAAATCGCGGGCATTAGCATGAAGAGCTTCTGTAAAATTGCCCCAAGCAAGGATTGCGGTGAAAAGAGCCCGGTCGCGGCATGAGATCTGATAATCCTTTGGTCCGTCTTGCCAGCGAAGGTCCACATCGTTGAGGGCACCTGGCAGCAACGACTTCCTGAGCTGGGCCGGTTGCGCCCCCAATGATGTGGAGTCTGAAATGCAGGGCGACTGTGGGTTTCTGATTTCTCCAGACATCTCTCGGAATGTACGTAGCCGTGGAGGCATGCAGCACTGCGACCCCACGTTGGGTAACCGCCTATGTTCTCTCTCTCCCTTCACGTTGTCTCGCTCGCTCCCTGTTTTTACAGACGAATACAACACTTCTCCCCGACTGCAGTAGCATTGGTAGCGGTATCGTGCTTTCGGTCTCAAAACAGTGCTCCCTGGACCATCCCCATAACGCTCGAGCATGAAGGAGCGGTCTTCCGAGAAAGTCAGCAACAAGCTCACGGTGCAGATGTTGGATGGTAGTGCCAGTGTTGTATGTGCAGTTATATGTATGCAAGCGTGCCTGTATGATTGTGTATGCATTCATGCACGAATGCACCTACGGATGTGTAGAGGTGCTGTGTTTGTCTGTAAATGTCTGTTATACACACACACACAAACACACACACAAACACACACACACACATACACATACACACACACATATATATATATAGACACACACACACGCACACACAAACACAAACAACAACAACAACAACAACACCAACAGCAGCAGCAGCAGCAGCAGCAACAGCAACAACAACAACAACAACAACGCCAACGCCAACGCACACACACACACACGCACACACAGAGACAGAGACACGGACGCATACACAGCAGAGATAGTCTGGACGGGTAGTCCCTCTAAACTACTGCTCAGTTCGGGACAGTGTTTGCGGCTCTGCCTGCTGTGACATTCTGGCAGCCATGGAGGTTCGATCGCATCTTCTTCGATGATTATGGTCAGCCTGGCATTTCTGACAAGGACATTTGGGTATATTTGGGTGCTCTTGCACCGAACAAGATTCCAACGGGCTTTTAGGTTGTCGGTGGCGAAGCAATCCAAGATCGGCGGATGTCGACACGGGTAGCTGTCAGAGAGTCAGAGACAGAGAGATAGACAGAGAGGGAGCGCGTCCGCGTGCGACGGGGTGAGTGTCAGAGAGAGGAGAGAGAGACGGAGCACTTTCTTTTTCTTCCTGTTGCCACTTTCTCACATGAGCAGCGCACGCATCCGGGATGGTTGCTGCGACGTAGTTGGAACGGTCCAGGTTTTTGTTTGGTAGGTTTTTGGTTTTTCTTGGTATTTTTTTGGTTTTCGGTTCGAGCCATATACAAAACTTGCAAGAGTCATAGGGATGGCGGCAGCTGAGGCTGTATTCGAGGTCTTCTTTGGTGATGTTTTATGGTTTTCAGCCTACTGGTCTTCGGCTATCGATCGGTCACTCAGTCTGTAAATCCGACGGGCCGACCGCCGGCTTCGCCAGTCTACCCGGTTGCCTTCCGTGCCAGTTCAGGCTCTGGGGGTCTCGGCTTTGTGGGTTTGCGTGCTTGATGGCACGATGTTGTTTAAAGCAAGCTTGCGCGGCGCAAAACGACATCGGAAGAGCTGAGCCTCTAGGACGGGCTTTGCAAGACCTCATACGAGTTATGTGCTTGACTTGAAATCGCAAATGGCGAAATGGCGTTCTTGACGTACGACGTTCACAAAGCACGTTCACAGAGCTTACGAAAGGGGAGGGCTTGGGGGGGGGGGGGCAGCCCCCCCCTCAATTTGCTAACGCAATGCCAAGGGGACTGGCGGAACACCCACCCTCGTTTGACGATTCGGTTCAGCATATATGTTACACACGCCCCCTCATTTGGCGATTCCGGTTCATCATATATCCTAAAACCCAAAACCTCCTTTGGAGGTTCGGATTCATCAAATATCTCAAACACGCCTCCTCATTTGGCGATATCGGTTCATCACACATGTTGAACCCGCTCCCTCATTTGGCGATAACGGTTCCTGATATATTTTAAACATGGCCCCCCCCCGTATTCGGTGATTCCGGTTCATCATATATCTTGCACATGCCCCCTCATTTGGCGATGACGGTTCATAACATGTCTTAAACACGCCCCCTTGTTTGGAGAGAACGCTTCATCACGTATGTCACACACGCCCCTCTTTTGGCGATTCTGGCTCCTCGTTCATGTCAGACATGCCCCCTCATTCGGCGATTCCGGTGCATCCTACATCTTAAACACGCCCCCTCATTTGGCGATATCGGTTCATCATATATCTCAAGCACTGGCGGACCGACTGACCGACTGTCCGACTAACTGACTGTCCGGCGCTTGGCGCATGGACCAACCGACCGACTGACAGACCGGCATGCTCGCGCACCGACCGTCGCACTGACTGATTGACTGACTGGCGGGCTCGCAGATCGACGGACGATTGGGCTCGCGGATCGACTGACCGACTGACTGGCTGAATGACTCGGTGCTTGAAGCCGTTCAGGCGAAAACCAACAAACTACCCCAATGATATCAACAAAACATACCCAAAAACAACCCCCAACCTAGCTGGAAACATGTGAAGCCCCACTCGAAAGAGCTTGATCAAGAGACTTATTTCACTTGGGTCCTTTCTTCCGAAAATCTGATCAATACAGGTAATATACAGGGGGGAACGCGCGGGAAGCAAACCTTGCAACCATATCCTGTTTCCGGATACATGGCTCCCGTTTGCCCGGAACCGCATTTGTCTTCTCAGACGTCTCCCTACAGAGCCTTTGCACAATGGTGATTCAATCGGCTCGGGGGACCACTTTAGAACCGCCATGTGCTGGATCCTGAATCAACCAGCTTAGTTCAGTTCTGCGAATGCCACGTCGATCGTGGAGGGGGGTCATGTTGGCATATGTTTATTTGGAAGGAAATGTTCCAGAACTGCCCGAACGAGCAGTACAAGGACATCTACGACGAGTCGCAAAGCCATTTTCACGCGTCTTTCAGATGCAAGTTGAGCTAAGCGTGTCACTGCTCAAACGCATTGCTGCGCATGCTACCACCGTCCGGGGACGCTGGCATGACTGTGATACGGTGCAGAGTCTAAGAGGTGTCTCCACAAATGTGATACGACGTGCCCCTGTGCCATGCGCTAAGAATGCAATGTTGCCGGCACGGCACGATGCGATCCCCGACAAGAGCCAGCATGCACATACTCGGAATTCAATCTCAACAAGCATAGGCACAAGCAGAGAGACCGAAAGGAAGGGATTCAAAAGGTCTGTGCGAAGAGTTGTAGCGACGCCGCACATGAGTCGAATTGAGCTTCGATTTATTGAATTCCTTGCACTAAGGTTTCTCAACCTCGCTTTCCAGTTTCACTCGCGCAGCTTGGAACCATTGCGGACTCCGGAGTTCATAAACGACGGGAAAATTTCCACAGTAATCTCTAGAAGTAGTTGCCGAGACCTTTCGGGCTGTCTCGGTTGCGGACCGAGGTCCATCACATGCAACAAAGTTCTCGGGCTGCTGTTGACTGCAGTTGTTTGAAGGGACCGCTGCGTCAGGAAACGGTACGCGAGTTTCTGGCTACTTGGCGACTTGGCAATGCAAAACGGGCTTGTGGAAGCACATGCTGCTTGGGTGCCGGGCCGGACAACACCCTCAATTCAATTAGTCAGCTCTGCAAGGAGAAATGAAGGGAGACATCAAAACATGGCCCGAAACAACTTCAGCCATTACGAGATGATTAGGTGCTTTCATTGCTTTTTGTTGGCTGTATTCCTGTTGCCAGTTCAAGGGCCCAACTCTCCAGATGAAGGCCGCGAGGCGGTCCAAGACATCAGCCTCGGTAGTGTTGGACAAGACAACACACCAACAAAAAGCAGCAGATAGGCGAAGTCCAGAAACGTCCCTTTCCTATACCCCAAGCCACCGGAGAAAATAGTTCTCGGAGTCAGGGCACCCACGCACGGTCTCAGATGCCGGTGAGAAATCGAATCTTCTTTGATAAAGGCGAAGGATGCCACGGAAGACACACAGAATTGGATTCTGTTATGGCACGTCTGTTCAGCCAAAACCCCGCATGTTGTGGAGGGCTTTGGAAGAGGTGAGCCCTATCGATTTCCAGAGGGATGACGTGGATGTCAAGTTCGAGAAGTGCTTGCGGCTGCATTCGGAGGGTTTGGCACGATCAGCTTGGATTCCTGGATGCCAACTACCACTAGGTCACTAGACCTGCCAACCACTTGCAGTTGATGGCATGGGGATCCACAAAGGGTTTGAAGCAACTTGAGGTGTTGGATCGTGGAGTTGTCAGCCATGTAGACAACAGCTTCCAAGGTATGCTGTGGCGCCTCCAGATCACTGCGACTACTTCTTCAGTGCTTGGAGCAATTGTATATTCTTTGTTGCGTTGCTTTCATGCTTTCTGTACACTCTGGCCAAGGGTCCGGACCGCATGGGCTCGCTAAGCAAGCTAGGCTTCAGGGAGAGCAGGGAGCAGGGCCAAAGCTTGCACCGAGTTCTGAGGCGACAAGGCAGTGGTGCCTGTCTTTTGCAAGAAGCTCGGCCAGGATCGAGTACTTGTACCAGACTGTCGAAGCTTTCGGTGGATCAGAGACGTCCAGACCGCGTGATGAACTTCAAGCCGGAAGCTAGTTGTGAAACACGTCCCCCCTCTCAGTGAAGTGTAATAGTAAGGATGTCCGCGCCCAGCGACGGTGGCTCGACGCGCAGCCCGAGCCCAGCAGGATAGCACAAAGGGATTCAATAAAGGGTTCAGAAGTGAGATGTATAGAGCTTTTTGGGTGGGCGCAAACCGTAGTTGCGTACAGCTTTGCTGAATTTGTGCTGCTGCATAACAGAAGCTTTCGAGCTTTTAAGGGCACCAGAACTAGAACGTGTGAATGCGGCGGGGAGAGACCATGAAGAGCTGAAAGGGTCCTTTGTGAAACCCAGAGATACACGTTGCAGTGACACGCACACGCAGTCTTTGAGCCAATGTATGAATATAGTGGGAAGAGTTTCGCCGTGGACCGTGTTGTGTTCGGTGCAATGCTAATTAAAGTGCTAAAGGCAAGAAGTGTTTATGGCAAGATGCTGTTTGTGGCCGAAGCGCCATGCTTCAGCCACCACGAAGCGGTGGGAGTTTCACTACTTGCCCTCCTGACATAAGAAGCAAGCGATCGTGCCAGGAGCTTTTGACATGGAGCCTTCGGAGCGAAAGATGCCCGGCTTGCTGCACACAGAGCCTTTTGAAGTGTGCGCTGAGTGATCGGGTCCGGTCTCTGGTGTAGGCCCTGTGGGCTTTCGGGTCTTGTATCGATTTGGTGGTTTGGGCTTCACGGAGACCTACACCCAGTCCAAGGACCGGGACAACAGGGAACTCGTTCCACACATTTAGTGGTCCAGTTCCAAGGCTAGGAGGAAGAAAACCTGGGGACACACACAGCTTGAGACGGGCAGCCTTGTCATGCCCTGTTGGACCGAGTTTTGCTAATCTGGTTTCCGACGGATTGGCGATTCTTGTAGAAAGTCCACTCATCGAGAGCCCCTGCCCTCGCGGTGGGGTGTTACTGTAAGGTATAGCCAAGCTAGAAGGTCAGACTTCCTCCTGCAGGGATGGGACCAGAAGGATGATTTTAAGCCTCGCGTTCCGCGAACACCTGTTTCGAGATTTCTTGGGCGGCAACCTGACGCCAAGCGTGCCATCGGCGGATCTGCTTTTGACACTTCTGGGCTCCATGCTTATACAATGAGCGCTACAACGCCCGGAAGCCGTAGATAAACTGCAACATTCCGCTGAATCAGACCGCTGGTGGGTGAGCTCGACATGCTCACAACCCTGCCAGAATGTACATCAGAGTACATCGAAGCATGGCTACGGCACAGACCCATACAGTTGACAAAGGTGTTCTGAGACGGAACAACAATGGTCTAGCGGACCGATTTTCCTACGGTCCAGTTGCATTTGGCCCGAGCGACTGATGCTAGAAAAGATCGTATGAGCCCCACATGTGACTATGCTCGACGCCCCCACAGGTACTTCCGACCTTTGCATGGCTTCTTGTCAGTCTTCTGTGTACTTGATGGGCGGGCCGGCATGTAGCAGAGTGCACACGTATATGTATGCATAGTCAAGACTGCCGGAGTTCTTCGATGTGCACGAGAGCAGTGCTGTGCGCAGCATTGGCGCTGTCACTAGACCACAGCGTTGGCAGGTTTTGCAACAATTGTTTGAATTGAAGTCCCTGTGTCAGGCTGGTGACCACCAAGCATGCAAACAAAACCAGTGTCAACACCATCCTGACAACCAGATCAGCCCGACCATATCCTACTATGCACGCAGAGGTTTCAAGCAAGTTTCGGTTTTCGATAACAGGCTCAATGCCAAGCGTTTGTAGGGACACCATGCCTGATCACTGGAGGGCCCAGATCAACATCGAAACAGCCATGCAGCAGTTGGAGTTCGACTGAGAACCTTCTTGCATGCCTGTCGTGCAGCGCCTCGTTGCAACTATGCATTTGAAGAGGAGCAGCCCCCGACTCCTGGCAGAGAGGAGCGGCGGAGAGTCTCTAATGTTATAGGCCTTACTACTTACTTAGGTGCTGGTAAGTCGCGCTTTAGATGCTGGGTATTGGAAGATGCCAGATGCCGCACCGGAGGTTCCACGCTTCGTCAGGGGCCGCTTCTCACCATTCCCGTTTCAGCGAGCTCCTGTCAATACCCGGTTGAGCTTGAGAGGATCGGAAGAAGTTCGGAAGAAGGGGATTCGCTTAGTGAGTGAAAGACTCCGGGAGCATTGAGAGAGAGCGAGTCTCAATTTGAAGCTTCCTCCCTGAACGTCAGAGAGTTGCTGCTGAGAGACACAGTAGCAGATCCGCTGCCTCCTGGGAAGCTTGCGGCCCAGTGAATCTAAAGGGATCGTTCCAAGCTGAAGCGAAGCAAGCGTTTGGAAGCATCGACCGCTGGCAGAATGAGTGTCAGAGTACCTGGTGTTGGCTGGGCCAAGCATCGAGAGGCGCTGGTTTTGTCGGCTTCCGTTTGGGGAGGTTTCGTATGATGTACAGATGCTCCAGACGTGCACAGCTGAGCTGACACTCTCATTAGCTTAGAGAAGAGCAGACTTTGGCAGAGGGAGAGCCAGAGCCGAACAAAAGACCCACCGGATTCCCCCCTGAAGCAGTCACTTCTTCTGCTAAAGCTTCTGAGACAGCATAGGCTAGGCCGCGTCTGGGCTTCGGACCTGAAAACGCATCACTTCTGGAATAAGGTCAGAGTGGAGCCATCTTTCTCGCCGTCGGCTCCTTCAAGAGGTCCTTCAAGTGCTCGGTTCCGCTATGCTTTGAGATGCCACAGCGTGCCCTTGGAAAGCTCTAGAAATGGCTCGCGATCAGTCTTCCCTCAAGATTCTAAACTGAACATGTTGTCTACTGTTGTGTAATGTATAAGCTTAGTTTGCTGCCGGATGCCGCCCTTGAAATCAAAATGGCCAATCAGTCACTCCTGAGCCGGATGTTTGGCGACACGTCTCGTGGAAGTCTTCGGCATTGGGAGTCCCTCGCCTTGCATCAGGCGTTGTCTCGATCGCAGCAGCTGCAGCCCAGCGGCAGGCAAAAGCAAGGTTGAGGTTTCGAGCATCCAGCTCTGCCAGCTAGTCGCCTAGTGACTTTCATTTACACTGTTGGGGCAGTCTGTCATGGCTTTGAGAAAGATCCCGCATGTACAAAGAAAGTGTGCCTCTTTGACATCCTCCCCGTGCAAGAAGTGTGCTACAGCAGGTGCCGACCAGAGAGCCTTTGAGGTGGGCGGGGTCGCCGCACTTCTCGAAGAGCACAACGCCATGTCTCGTGTCAGTTGCGATTGTAGCCCGGCAGTTGGAGATGTGTTTAATTGTAAATGCTTCGCGTCGTCCGCGTTGGCCTGCTTTGAGGCTTAAGTCTGTTGGTCCCCCTTTGGGCTCGAGGTGGGGGGTTGGGCGTGGGGCTTGGAGGCTTCTGTGCATCTTCATCCTCATCATGAGCATCTTCACCCTCCATCCTCTGCCTACGGACACTCGAAAACAGTGGAGGACATGAACTTCACGGCCGGTTAAGTCTTTAAGGCAAGGTGCGGCAAATAGTCACCCTCTGATCGTGAAACCTCAGTCGGCAGAATCAAGTCGGCCAAGCATAGGGAGGTGCTTCGTCCAGTCATGTCAGAAACCGGTGCAACACATTGGGAGATTCGTAAGCCTTCCACACTCTGCGAGCAGGCGCCCAACACCGACCACGACGTCTGCCCCGGTGATTCGCTCCGTCAGCCCGGCGCCTGCACCTGCGCCCGGACGCCCTGAGGACTTCCCACGAAATGTGGTCCATGCTCACTCTAGGCCTTATGCAAAAGTCGCCAGTGTTATGGCACGGAGCAACACCCGGCCTCTGTCGTGGCCGACCCACCGCCAACACGAACAGAGGTGTATATCATGGATATGCACATACGCGCATAGCTAGCTGTCTAAAAGTACCTGCCTACCCACCTACTTACCCGCCTGCTTGCCTGCCCTGCCTGCTTGCATAAAACATGTAGATACATAAGTTCCTTGTAGCAGGTGCGTATCCATACATAGTACATATGTATCGGCAGATAGATAGGTTGTCAGATCGTGAGATGCATCGATGGACACATTGACAGACAGCGTCGAGTAGCTACATAGCTAGGTAGCTGAGTTGCGGGTGGATGGATGGATAGACAGACAGAGACAGGCAGGCAGGCAGGCAGAGGCAGCGTCATGCAGACACGACGCATGCGTGCCGAGGCTGGCATCAGGCCTCGGGCTTCAGCTGCCGGTTGGCATGCGCCTTCTTCGAACGCCGCTGCCCAGCCTGGATCCCCAAACCCTGGCGCGATATTTAGCAGATAGTTGTGGAAGTGCACGGCCGCCTCGGGAATTGGAGGGTGCTCGGCGATGCTTTGATGATTCGATTGGTGAAATGGACCTGCCCACACCTGCGATGCTGTGATGTTATTTTGGTACAAGCGTTCGGAGGTCCAGACCAGACATATAAACAGACGAAGCTGATTTTCGTAAAGCCACTGTCAAAGATGATGAGCCCACTGAGAGCACAGGTGCCACATCGGCGGCAACGACACCGCCACGCTCTCCAGCAACGACGTGGCCTCCGAGGCCTCACTACGGTACGGGGGATGGAATGGGCGGAGTCCTATAGTTCAGCAACACGGACATTTGTAGCAATGTGATAACGGCTTTGACAGAGGTTGAGGTGGGCTGTCGCTTGCAAAATTAATGAGAACGAAGGACGAAAAGCGCGTCGCCGCAGTCTCTTGGCTCTAGCTTTACTTCTTGGAGCGTGTGCGTACTAGCCAACTGCTAAACACACGCACCCGGGCAGGCGCTTGGAACATCAGCCTTTGCAAACGAGCTCCTGTCTCACACACCATGCCTTGTAGCATAATCTGTAGCTTACAGGCACTCACGACCCTCGAGCCGCGATCAGCTTTGTTGCCGTCTGCCCGGGTCCAAGTCCAAGAGTCCGTGCGAACAGAGCACCCCCATCCCATCGCCATGGACTGCTGCCATGGACTGCATCTCTGGTCTGCTGCCGACCTCCTCAGGCAGCACAATTAAATAAGAAGAGCCCATTCAGGCACGAGCACGGAGGATCTTATGCACAGAAGAGCTGCGCAACAAGACTGACTATCTGCCGTCTTAGTAGCTCTCGGTGGTCACCGGTGGACTCCTAGACATTTCAATGCGGGGGCTTATTTTACGCATGAACCTTTTGGTCGGGTGGGCATCCTGCATGGACCGGTACATTCCTGCGACGTTGCACAAACATCTCTGGTTGACGATTGCTTGTTCCGGGTGTGTTGCTTGATATGTCGGTTGTTGGCCCATGGGATTTTTTCAGCAAAAAAAGCATTGCGCACGTGTGTGATCTCAGAAAGTAACAGGCTCTTCCATCGGCTCCCGGTAGCCGTCCCCAAAGAGGAGACCCTCGAGGCGAGACGGGAACGGTTGAGTTTTGAGCTTCGTGCTTCTAGAGAAATTGCAGTTGCGAAGCCCTGTTGATGTGAACAAGCCACCCTTGTGAATTGGGCTTAAGATGGCATGAGTGAACGAACTCTTCCACCCAGCTTCCAGTTTTGGCCACCTGCCAATCACACGCGAAATCCTGCATGTTGAAGCAACTCCCCACTCGCTGCGCTATTGAAGTCCATACTTACATAGTAGTTCAATACCGACTTTGGTATATTTGGAGTCTTAGGATATTCCTTGGTGAAAAGCGGGAGTTTGAATCCTCTGCATCGCAGAAGTCCCTTGTAAGCCGGCCTCGAGTCTGCAGCTGTTGAAAGTCCAACTCTCAACTTGCCGCGTAAATCAGGGAGAATGCTGCTTGCTCAAGGTTTACCTTGGTTGGGCTTGCATCACGCAGGTGACGCTTGCTGCAGACCACGCCCTTGATGAGCCTGCTGCGGAGCCTGCTGCGCCCGCCTTTAGTGATGAAGGCCTTGTGCCGCCTCGGTTTGCAGTTTTCTGTTGCCATGCTCCGAAATGCAGGTTGCAGAGTACCACAAGACTACGATTTTACAAGTCCGACATGAGAACACAACAGGCCAACAGGCATCTGCCAAGAGGACAAAGACGCTGGGTCGCTGTGACTGCGGCACGAGCGACTTGAATTTGGACAAATTCCACTGATCAAGCACGGCGCCATTGGTCTGTATTCTGTATTGCGCTAGTAAGGCCTCGCGGCATGACGAGGATGCATCAACAGGGTGGGTCTCGGTGGCCGATAGCTAGTTGTCTCCGCAGGCGCCGAGGCTACCGATTCGGAGAAGGACTGGGCTGGGACTGCACATGCCGACATGTGTAACAACTACCAATCAGACCAGGCGCGAGGGGAGTGTCAAAGTTGAGCCTTTCGGAAACTCAGGCTTTTGCGGTCCTCCTGTCCAGAGTGACGACTGAAGCCTGCAGATTTGTTCAACCCCACCAGCGGGAGGAATGTGGTCCTAGCGGTACAAGTGCCACGGATGATGTGAGCGGAGACGATCTGAGCGCACCCTGGCGGCATCTGCGGAGTTTGTTTGTATAGCAGAAGGGGCACTGATCTGGAAACCCAATTCCTTCGCACTTTGATGCTGCTCGGCCATCTCCAACCTCCTGACACAGCTGCAAGGAAAGTGGCCACAGCGACCCGCACAGCATCACAACCACGATCAGTGAGGGAGCTGACACTCTGGACGCTTGGACCACTCAGCTGGATCGAGGGCAAGGTTCGACGACAGTCTTGCGGGCTTCTTCTTCACAACGTGTCCAGGCCACCCAAAAACCCCATTTGACAAACAGAACAAAACCTCCTCCTCCTCCTACTACTACTAACTACTACTACTACTACTACTACTACTACTACTACTATTACGCTGTCCCCTCCTGGTGCGACGCCCCAAGTTTTCTTGATATGCTTTGTACATGGATGCACTCTGTTCTCAAATGCACTAGACCATGGAC